AAAACAAAACAAAAAACAAAAAAAAACCCAAAAAACTCCACTGATTTTATTTCCTACTCACATTGTTGCACATATATAATTTAAAATGGGGTCAGCATTGTGGCATAGCAGGTTAAGCCACTGCCTGCAACACCCGCATCCCATATGGGCGCTGGTTTGTGTCCCGACTTCCTCACTTCCAGTCCAGCTCCTTGTTAACATGCATGACACATCAGCAGAAGAGACACAAGTGCTTGGGCCCCTGCTCCCCATGTGGGAGACCTGGATGAAGCTCTTGGCTCCTGGCTTCAGCCTGGCTTGGCCAGACATTTGCAGCCAGCTGGGGAGTAAACTAGTGGAAGATTCTCTCTCTCTGTCTTTCCTTCTCTGTAATTCTATACTTCAGATAAATAAGTCTTTAAATAAATAAATATATACACATACACAAATGACAGAGATATCAAATATGTATATCATGTGTTCCATAAACACAAGATTTAAGATGAAAAATGGGTGCAGGCATTGTGGCCTAAGAGAGTAAAGCGTTGCCTGCAACACTGGCATTCCATATAGGCGCTGGTCCCAGTCCCAGCTGCTCCACTTCCGATCCAGCTCCCTGCTAATGGTTTAGGAAAAGCAGTGGAAGATGGTCCAAGTGCTTGGGCTCCTGCCACCCACGAGGGAGACCCAGAAGAAGCTCTTGACTCTTGGTCAAGAGCTGTGGCCATCTGGGAAGTGAATCAGTGAATGGAAGATATTCTCTCTCTCTCTCTCACTAACTTTTGAATCAGTCAATCATCTCTAAACAAAAGATGCAAATGAAGGAATTGTGGGTACTTAGAAAATAACCAGTATGAAAAATGTTTGAGCTTTTTGTGAATGAAGAATATACTTTTCTTATATAGCTCAAAAAGCACCAAAAAATCTTAAAATTACTAGGTTTGATTTTAAAGTTATTTCTAAAGCTATGGGGAAAAGCAAAACAGTAAAAATGCATATTATCCTTCAGAAATCCCAAAGCATTTAACTCCAGGATTTATCGCTAATCTTTTATTAAATTGTAAACACTTTCATTTAAATTTAAGTTTGATGTTTCAGAACTCTTTTCCTTAGAAGATTTGTATTTTTGCATTTTTTCTATTCTCCCCCCTTTTCATTTTTATAGTTAAAACCCCATCAGTCATTCTGCAGCCTAATAAATTAGGAGAATATAGAGGAAAGTCAAATAGTGTTGTCATTAACTTCCCAGTTTGACATCTATGAGTAGCTCCAAATGAAATCAAATTGGATTATCTAAATGACACACCTATATAGTTTCTTACAACTAATTAGGTTATACAGACAAATGGAGGCTTGCATCATACAAATTTCAGGGAATACAACTATCAAGACCTCCTTGGAGAAATGCTTCCATTTTGGCTACCAGTCCATCCAGGAAATGTGTTATACGTAAAGTAGAGTCAGGGTGGCCTTGTGGTGGTCCACGATTCACTAACAAACTAAAACGTCAAGCCTCACAGAAGTCTATCTTCTAGTCTAATAGCTGCTGAAGCAATACTGCCCAGATTCCACACACTGCAATGATGTTAGAAGTAGTTGAAAATATTTTTAGAAAGGAAACGCAGTTTTGTAGGGCACGTGAGTGCTGGCACATTTTTAAAGAGAGCATGCAATTTAGAGGACAAACTTAAGCGGCACCCAAGTGTGTCAAGGAGAAGAGGGGCCAGTGAGTTGGAAGAGACATGCTTTAATTACCCTTTCTTCTTCCGGCCATGAATACATTTGTACAGGCAGGTGCAGCATACTGCAATCCCAGCAACTACAAGGAATCAGGAAGCAAACAACATGTGACTCTGAACACGACTTACATTGATTCAAAATCTACCAGAAATAATTTTGGTTCTATTTCAGTGATCAGAAAATGTTATGTTATTGAAGCACCTATACATTTCTCTTCCATCCAGACTCGTCATTACCTAAACCCTGTTTCCTGCAATTGCTTAGTCTGCAGGAAGTCAGAAGAGAAGCCTTGCTTAATCCAGAAGATTATTAAAAGCATATTTGGGGAGCAAACTGGCATTATGAATCATCTTGAGGAAACACATATTAGGAGTTCTTACTAGGAGGGTATATAGAGTATGAAACAATGTGAAACTACCAACTCAAGGTGGTAAATCATGGAAAAGGTCTCATTCCTCTAGGTTGGTTTACTTAAGCTAAACAAACTATAGAAACTGAAAAACATTAGGAATAAACACATTGAGTGGGCATTTAGCCCGGTGGTTAAGACATCTGTGTCCCATGTTAGAGTGTCTGGCTTCGATTCACGGCTCTGGCTCCTGACTCTGGGAGCTAACGCAGACCCTGAAAAGGAGTGGTAATGGCTCAAGCATTTGGGTTCCTGCCACCCCAGTGGGAGAACCAAATTAAGTTTCTTGTTCCCAGCTTCAGCCTGGCACAGCTTTGGCTGATGGAAGCATTTAAGGAAATGAACAAGCAGATGTGAACTTTCTCTTTCTGCCTTTCAAATACATAAAAATTAATTTTTTTAAATTTCAATTCTTTACAGTAACATTTCAATTTAAGTGGTTCAAACGGGGGATACTTACTTGCAGTAACAACAATCAGAGCAATGAGCCATGCATCTAAGAAAAAACAGAAACAGTTTGAAGATGTTGAACATAAATGAGTCTCTAGATAGCAGCTGTATTTTCATTTACATCAGCTCACATAAACCCCACAGCAAAATACAGGCTATCTGTCTAGTTCTAGCACGATGCCTGCTAGTGCACCTAAGTTACTCTGATCACAGAACCCTTCTAAGCAAGTTTCTGGGTTTAGGATCCAGTTGTGAAACCCTTAATGAGGGGCCGGCGCCGCGGCTCACTAGGCTAATCCTCCGCCTTGCGGCACCTGCACACCGGGTTCTAGTCCCGGTCGGGGCTCCGGATTCTGTCCCGGTTGCCCCTCTTCCAGGCCAGCTCTCTACTGTGGCCAGGGAGTGGAGGATGGCCCAAGTACTTGGGCCCTGCACCCCATGGGAGACCAGGATAAGCACCTGGCTCCTGCCATCGGATCAGCGCGGGCGCCGGCCGCAGCGGCCGTTGGAGGGTGAACCAACAGCAAAAGGAAGACCTTTCTCTCTCTCTCACTGTCCACTCTGCCTGTCCAAAAAAAAAAAAGAAAAGAATATCACTTTCCATTGTATGTTCTGAGCTTCCACATCAACTTATTTAGTAAAGGCTCTTAGAATTCACTAGAGAAAAGTCATTCAAAAAATATATTATCCCATTGTCTGCGGTTTCATTCTACATCCATTCTATCATTTCTGATTTTTAGAAGATCCCCAAGATGGATCTGTAGAATAAGTCATAAATAAATTTCTAATACCATCACGCAGGCACTATTTGTGGGGTCTTCATAAATAATGAAGACCTTATCATCAACTCCTTCCTCCCCAACTCTACTCGCTTTAAGACATAGTCCTTAGTACTAGGGAGATTCCCTCTAGAAATGGAAATGAAACACCAGGGTACATGGGCAAAAGTTATGCAGAGAAACTTCAATGTACATTTGTGACTAGCCAGAAAATACTAAATAATCCTACAAAATCTGAATTCTTAGAAGTGCTTCTGTTAGCAGTTCCTTTGCTTCTGAATTTTTACTTTTACTGAGTTGCTACAAGTCAGAGCATAAACTATTGTGTTTAATCCAGCGCCTCTCATTTCACGCAGTTACCAAGCATTGAACAGCTTAAAAACAGCACTGGATTTATTGATAACAATGACAGTTTGACCACAGAGGTGGAAGATAAAGTGTAAATAGATAGTCCCTAACAGTGGTTGGTTCAACTTGGCATTTTTTTGACCTATGATGGTACCGGAGTGGTAACATTCAGTAGAAACTGCACTTCAAATTTTCAATTTTGATATTTTCCTGGGTGGGAAACATAGCACGATACTGTGTCCAGACGCTGGGCAGGAAGCAAGCCACGGCTCCCAGCCAGCCACGTGATCTCAGGGGAACCGGCCAGTACTCCACAGCGGACTGCTGAGCCAGGATGCTGAGTGGCAGGTGCATCAGTGCACTTCAACTCGCAAGGAGTGTCCCGGAGGAACCCCATCAGGAGTTGAGGAGCGTTTATAAAGCTGTATTCTCTATTTGAAGGTTACACATCTGTGGATTAGTGAGTAGCCACAGAAAATATTTTTAAAATCACTGCATCTGTACTGAACATGTGTTATTGATCCCTAAACAATACACTATGATACCAATTTATATACTTTGTTTGTACACTGAATTAGGTATTATCAATGGCCTAGAGATGACTTAAAGTATGAGAGGTTATATGCAAATACCATATATCTTATATAAGGAACTAGGACATCCTCAGATCTGATATCTGTGAGAAGTGGGGAGGTCCTAGGATCAGTCAGTGGATACTAAGGATCAACTGTACTAAAAAACAAGCCAACAGTGAGTTTTATGAAAAGACTAGCCATTACTAAACTACTCTACTAAATGGAAAGTAATGGATTTTTGTCTCCTTTTCATTATCAAGAAATCCTTACATTTCAGTGAACTTTAATTTTCACAATACACTTCATCAGTTTCTTTAATATATTGTCTGAAATGTGTAAACCTATAGAAAGTATGCCAAACTAGCCTGTTATAGAAAAAAAACTAATGCAGCTCATACAGGATGTAATAAGAAAGAAAATGTATCAATTGCCATTGTAAAATAACACTGTCATGTGGAAAATGAGTTGTGTTTTATGTATTTTAACCTACATATAAGAACAGAATTTAAGAAGGTTACATCCCCCTACTAGGAATCCTCTTGGGTTCTATTGGGCTTCTATTTTCATTTAAACTCTTAAGACAGGAATAGAAAATGTCTGGTCCATGGGTTGTATAAGGCCCACAAAATCATTTGATCTGGCCCTGCCAAGGCAACTGCGGGCAGCACTCAAAATCCATTAAATCTATAGCAGGCTAGTTTGGTGATTTTGTATGGTCCTCAAATGGTGTTATAAATATCCAAATGGCTCTTGGCAGAAAAAAAGTTCCCCACCCCTGCTCTAACATATCATAATGCAGGATTAGTAACCAAAAACAGTAACCTATATCCTCGTTAAATATTTCACGGGGTTCAGGATATCCTAGGGGGAGAAAGAAAAGAAGAAAATGGGGTCAGTAAAACCACATGAATAATAAAATAAAATAATAAAGCTTAAAATCCTTTAAATTCATAGGTTGATTTTTTTAGCCTGGTATAAACCTTCTTAGAATTTCATTTTCTTATAAACCATATTAATGTTTCTCATTTAAAGTAGTGTCATAAAATTTTATGTTTATATTTAACATCATTATATATATTTTATGGTATAACATGCAAATTTATCTTTAATATTTCCTGAAAATCAGTCTGCGAATTCAAGGCAATTTTAATTAAAATTTAAAGATAGAGGCAGGCTCAATAAATGGTTTAGAAGGTGATCTGGAACGGAAGGAAACTTCCTCAACATAATAAAGCCCAGAGATGGAAATCCCACAGCTAACATCATTCTCAGTGATAAACAGCTGAAGGTCAGGAGCAAGACAGGGCACCCATGTTTGCCACTTTTGTTCAGCATAGTACTGGAAGTTGTAGCCAAAGCAACTAGGCAAGAAAAAGAAATAAAAGGGATCCAAATTGGGAAAGAAGTAAAATTACCTCTGTTCACAGATGACATGATCTTTTATGTAGAAAACCTGAAGGAGTCCACATACACACACATGCAAACACCTATTAAAACTAATAAATGAATTCAGCAAAGTTGTAGGATTCAAAATCAACACACAAATATCAGCTATAGTTCTGTACACTAACAATGAATGATCAAAAAAGGAAGTTAAGACAATAATTCCATTTATAATAGTATCAAAAAGAATATTGCTTTTGGGAATACACTTAACCACAGAGGTGAAAGACTTGTGCACTGAAAACTACAAGACACTGTTGATAAAAATTAAAGACATAAATAAATGGAAAGACTTCCTGTGTTCATATTTTTAAGCTGTCCATACTACACAAAATAATCTACAGACTCAATGTAAACCCTATCCAAATCCTGATGGTACTTTTTACAAAAACAGAAAAATCCATCCCCAAATTCATATGAAATCTCAAGGAAACCCAAATAGCCAAAACAAGCCTAGAAATGAAGGGCAAAATTGAGAGGACTCTTGATGTCAAAACTTCTTGATGTCAAAACTTACTACAAAATGGGGATGATGTGGTGCAGTGGATGAAGCCACTGTCTGTGGCACTGGCATCCCATATGGGCACTGGTTCCTGTCCTAGCTGCTCCATTTCTGATCCAGCTCCCTGCTAATGGCCTGGGGAAAGCAGCACAAGATGGTCCAAATATTTGGGTCTTTGCCACCCACATTTTGGTCATCTGGTGAGTGAACCAGTGGAGGGAAGATCTCTCGCTCTCTCTCTCCATTATTCTTTTAAAATAAATAAATAAATATTTTTTAAAAATTACTACAAAACTATATTAATCAAAACAGAATGGTGGGAGCTGGTGCTGTGGCATAGCTGGTAAAGCCACCGTCTGCAGTGCTGGCATCCCATACGCTTGCTGGTTTGAATCCTGGCTGCTCCACTTCCAATACAGTTCCTGTTAATGCACCTAGGAAAGCAGTGGAAGATGGCCCAAGTGGTTGACCCCTTATACCCACATGGGAGACCCAGAAGAAGCTCCTGACACCTGGCTTTGGATCGGCTTGGTTCCAGCTGTTGTGGCCATCTGAGGAGTGAACCAGTGGATGGAAGACCTCTCTCTCTCTCTCTGCTTCAGCCTCTCTGTAACTCTGCCTTTCAAATAAATAAATAAATCTTAAAAAGAAAGAATGGTAGCAACATAGTGATAGACATGGAGCCCAACAGAGTAGAATAGAAAACTTAGCAGTTAAACCCTATTGAATAGCTCAATGATTTTCAGTAAGAGTGCCAGTAGCAGTCAATGTAGAAAGAGTAGTCTCCTTAACAAATGGTATTGGTAAGATTGGATATACACGGCAAAAGAATGAAGTTGTACTGTTCTCATATACTTAACTTCAGATGGACCAAAGACGTAAATTAAGAGCTAAAGCTGGCCGGCGCCGTGGCTCACTAGGCTAATCTTCCACCTGTGGCGCCAGTACCCCAAGTTCTAGTCCCAGTCGGGGCACCGGGTTCTGTCCCAGTTGCTCTTTTTCCAGCCCAGCTCTCTGCTATGGTCCAGGAGTGCAGTGGAGGATGGCCCACGTGCTTGGGCCCTGCACCCACATGGGAGACCAGGAGGAAGCACCTGGCTCCTTGCTTCGGATCAGCGCAGCACGCCGGTCATAGTGGCCATTTGGGGGATGAACCAACGGAAGGAAGACCTTTCTCTCTGTCTCTCTCTCTGTCTATAACTCTCTCTCTGAAAAAAAAGGGGGTGGAGCTAAAGCTATCAAACTCTGAAATGAAAACACTTCATGACAATGTATGATGAGCAACACTTCAAACCTTTTGGGGAGAGGCAATAATGTTGCTTGCCTATTGGGTGGGGTGGGGAGAACCTTGTCTCACTCCATAAACCACAGTGAATTTCAAATGTAGCAATAATCTCAATGCAAAGCATGAAGTCAAAACACATGGTTGAAATTTTTACCCGATTCCAGCCTGGAGAAGTAAAGTTTCATGAGAAATACACAAAACTCAGAGTCATTGGGGAAAAGTTGACACATGCACCTGCCTGTTTGTATGAGATTTCTGAACACATCAATGACTGTGGGGAGCAACTCGGACTATACTGTTACTGGAATTAAGACTTATTCTATACATCTGCTCTCCCACAATATGGCGCTGGGAGAGGAGCAAACAACTTCTACCCAGCTGCCTCTCACCAACTTGACAAACTGCAGGAGCTGCTCCTGATTGGAGGAGAGCAGCGTGCTCAGCGTGTGGGTAGCAGAGCACGGATTGGTGGAGAGGACTATATAGGAGGAGAGAGACGGCATGGTGGTGTGGGTTGGTTGGAGAGTGCGGTGGAGAGTTCGTGGGGAAGTTCGTTGCTTCGTTCTTTCTCATTTCTCTCTACTCATTCTTGCTTTGGGAGTTCGCTGTTTACTTATTCTTTCTTTACTATAGAAAGGACTTGTAAAAAAGGGGAACAACAAGCGTCCGGTCCGGTGCGGCTCCTCCGCGTGCGGAGGAGCAGCAAATGGTGCCGTGACTCGGATATGAAGCCTAGGCAGGGTCCTGTGTCGTTCCTTCGTGAAGAGGGGGAGCAACATAATGGTGCCGTGACTCGGATATGAAGCCTAGGTAGGGTCCTGTGTCGTTCCTTCGCGAAGAGGGGGAGCGACATAATGGTGCCATGACTCGGATAGGAAACCTAGGAGGGAAGAAGTGGGAAGAAGTGGGAAAATACCGGAGAGAGAGACTAGCAAAGAGCCTAGGGAAAAGCCGGACGGAAAAGGTGCCGGAAGAAGCTATTGAAAGCCTAGGCATAGACTCGGATACGGACTGTGGGAAAGAAGTTAGGATTTAAAGTGAAAGCAAGAAGAAACTTAGACTCAGATACGGACTGCAGGTTGAAAGCGAAAGTGAAACCTAGAAGAAACTTAGACTCGGATACGGACTGTGGGGAGAAGCCAGGAGAAATGAGAGGGGAATATTGTTGGAAGAAAGGTTAGGAAACATACCGGGTAGAGAAAAATATGTTAGGGAGGATGAAGCCGCGGGGGCAGGCCTAGGCGGAGACGTAAGCTATCTTGGGATTGTCAAGTCAGCCCGGGGAGCAAAAGGCAAAAATCTGGAACCAGAGGCAGAGACGTGGGCCGCCAGGTTGGAATCCGTCAGATTAGCCCAGGGAGCAAAAGACGGCAAGCCAAACCGGGGGGCGCAGACGTGAGCTAGGTTGAATTCGCCAGGTTAGCCCGGGGAACTTGGACTGAATGCCGGTGGCGGAAACGTGAGCTGGGCTGTGTGACTCGCAGAAGCCGCCGCGTGCAGAGAGAGCACGCGGGGCACAAACGGGGAGAGCGCACGCTAGCGTGAAGGCCGTGGTGAGGGCACAAAGGGCGCGGAGACTGCGGAGCGCGCAGAGCCGGGAAGCCGCCGGCGGGTGAAGCGCCGAGAGGCAGCCTCAGGGCAGGCGCCGGGAAGCCGCGGGGATAAGAGAAATAGAAGTATAGAAGTAAAATGAGAGAAATAGGAATGCTGGCAGATAGAAGTAAAATAGGAGAAATAGGAATGCCCGGAGATAGAGAAATAGAGAAAAATAAGGCCTCCCCACAACATGGCAATGAGAGAGCTTGGATTCGGTCTGCCTGATTAGTAAGACGATAAGTACCTGTGGGCGGCTGCAGGTCACCGAAGACAGGCACGTTATCAACACCAATAAGTCTCCCACAAGACGGCAATGAGAGGGCTTGGATTCGGTTTGCCTGATTGGTAGGGCTTGTAAGCACCTGCAGGTAGTTCTAGCAGAGCAGAGCATGCGCTGCAGGGCACCGAACACAGGCACGCATCAGCGCCAAAAAACCTCCTCACAACATGGCGAAGAGAGGACCCGGATTTGGTTTGCCTGATTGGTAGGGCTTGTAAGCACCTGTGGGCAACTCTAGCAAGCAGAGCAGAGTGTGTGCTGTGGGGCACGGAAAACAGGCGCGTATCAACGCCAAAAATAAAAAGAAAGGGGGATCTGTGGGGAGCAACTCAGACTAGACTAAGTTACTGGAATTAAGACTTATTTTATGCATCTGCTCTCCCACAATATGGCGCTGGGAGAGGAGGAAACAGCTTCTATACAGCTGCCTCCAGTTCAACCAATAAACAGCAGGACCTGTTCCTGATTGGAGGAGAGCAGCGTACTCGGCGTGTGGGCAGCTGAGTTGGGATTGGTGGAAGAGGACTATAAAGGAGGAGAGAGACAACATGCACCAGGAACATCTATCTGAAGGAACACCTGTGCAGCCCCCGAGAGAGCCGGCCAGCGGTGTGCCGCTCCCCCGCGGAAGCGGGGAAAGTGGCTAGGGGGAACCGGGGGAACCGCCCTTCCACGGAGGTGGAAGGGTCGGTAGCCAACCCGGGAAGAACCAGCAGCAAACCCGGAGAGGGCCGAGCAGACAAAAGAACAGCGCAGGGTCCTGTGTCGTTCCTCCACGAAGACGGGGAGCGACAAATGACCACTTGTAGAGTAGTTGAATTGTGGCACATATTCAAGTCACCATTACAAAAGCCTGGGAATCTAAACAGAACCTCAATCCAAGACACAAAATGGAGAAAGTGCAAAGTGTAGGTAATGTTATTTTTGTTTAAGAGGAGGAAAAAATACCAGACTATATGTCTGACTGCTCATAAAAGGATGCTGATGTACAGAAACATAAAAGGAAACCCTAAGCCACTGGCAATGATTTACTCAACGAACTTGAAAGAGAAATAATCCTTACTCTATACTTTTGTAATGTCTGAAATTATTCAAAAACAATTCATATGATACTCATGTTGGTAAAAGTTATAAAAAACAATCTGTGTCCAATTGTACAAAAAATTCTTAAAACTGACTAGTAAATACAAACAAACAAAAAAACCCTAGGAAGAAAATGTTCATATGAAAAAGATTCAATATGGCCGGCGCCGCGGCTCAGTAGGCTAATCCTCCACCTTGCGGCACCAGCACACTGGGTTCTAGTCCCGGTCAGGGCGCCGGATTCTGTCCCGGTTGCCCCTCTTCCAGGCCAGCTCTCTGCTGTGGCCAGGGAAGTGCAGTGGAGGATGGCCCAGGTGCTTGGGCCCTGCACCCCATGGGAGACCAGGATAAGTACCTGGCTCCTGCCATCGGATCAGCACGGTGCGCCGGCCGCAGTGCACCAGCTGTGGTGGCCATTGGAGGGTGAACCAACGGCAAAGGAAGACCTTTCTCTCTGTCTCTCTCTCTCTCACTGTCCACTCTGCCTGTTAAAAAAAAAGAGAAAAAAGAAAAGAAAAAGATTTAATATATAATAAGCTCTCCAAAACTGGCCACAAAAATAATTTTTGAAATATAATAGAAAATAGGGCAGAGGCCATGAAAGAATAAATACAGGTCAAAAAAAGTTGGCTTTACTGAGGCTTAAAGAAATCCAAGTTAAAACATCATTTTTAATACATGCCCTATGAAGTTAACAATATCAGTAGGATAAAGAGTTACTGAACCTGGATAATTATAAACTGGAGGCTTGGTTGGATGAGTAGGCCTAGGACCTAGAAAGACAAATTTGATTTTATCAGTTCATTAGCCTTATCAATATATTATTAAAGATTTAATTTTGATAATTGATTTAAAAAAGATTATTTATCAAAATGAAAAATACATATTTTATGAATGTTACAGTTCTGGGAATTTAACTTGTATGTATATTTGCACAAGTGTGTATGCATATATGCACAAAATACTCATTTGTATTTTAGGATGGAAATCCTGGAAGTTAGATAATAATAAATCATATAAGTAATGTGTTTGGGGAAAACACATTTTTAAAATAAACAAGAATCCTAGTAGTATCATACTATATAATTTACATGTTACTCATTCTGCTTGGTATTTCTTGGACTTTTCTTTCATATTAACAAACTTAGATCTATGTTAACACCATTACATATTGCTATGGATACTTTTGACACAGTCTTTTGCTAGTGATGGCAAAAAGTGATTGACAATCCTCAGGAATTTTTGAGTTTTTTAAAAAATAAATTCCTGTGGTTTCTCTTCTTTATAATGTTTTTCTCATTTGATTCCCTCTTCACCTTTAAGCACTCAGCTAAATCACTGTTTTACAAATTCTTTATGAAATAGTTATGGTCAACTCTTTGGACAGAGAGTTATCAACAAATGTAATATACCATATACCCACTCAGAACACATAAGCAAACACAGATGATTGATTCAAAGAGTATAAACCTCACATATAATCTCAGTCCACCAAAAAATCATCACCTCCCTACCCTAAACCCCTTAGAACTCTGAGTACCTTAATTAGGTACTCAAAGAGGCTAACAGGCACCAAATTCTTATAAAATTTTAAAGAGATATTCTGATCATTATGTTACATGTGCAATTCCCCTCCAATCTAAAATATTAGAAATAGAAAGTATATTCATACAATGAGTCTGCAAAAAGTTAATGGAACATGTGTACTCTGAAAAAACTACACATGGTTTTCCAATTTTTTGCATCAAGATCTTTGAATTTCATTTTCCATGACCTTTTCAAAGTCTCTTTGTAGAAACAAATTAGGACACAATAGTTGAGAATTATTTGACTTCAAAACCCTTATTTAACCACAGGAAAAGTAAAGCCCATTGAAATGATGGTAGTTGAGTCAAGTAGAGTCCAACTAGGAACCTGTGTGCCCAGGCTAAGGCTCTTCCCACCATTCCTTTTGCCTCTTCTGCTGCAACCAAAGTGGAACCAGAGACAGCAGCACCGAAGTCAGGAAGATAATTCCTTCCTTCATACTGGAAAAAAACTCTCCAGCTTGAAGCTCAACAGTTGATTAGTAGCACCTGCAAGTCCTTTCCTTTTCATAAGTAAGGACTGTTCCTTCAAATAAAGCTGCTCCATAAAGAGATAAAACAACAATTATATGAGGTGGAGAAAAGGGCCAGGGAGGAGGTACAGAGACGGATCTCTTAGGAGAAAGCAATTTCCCAGTTTAAATGCACCGCATAAAAGAAACTAGGACATTCCAGGAAATGGGACATAGTCCTGCCTGGGAAGATCCCCAGGTCAGCTGTCAACAGATCTATGCAAAAAAGAGTAAAATAGCAAAGTTGAGGAAGCAGTAAACACATATTAACAAAGAGAGGCCATGGCAGGAGTCACTGTGCACTTGCTCCCCAGGTAGTGGACCTCTGTCCTTAATGTGTTGTACTATGAGAAATAACAGTACAACCAGTCTTCAAATGGTACTTTATACTTTGTGTGTCTGTGTGGGTGCAAACTTGAAATCTTTACTTAGTATAGAGTTAATCTTCTGTATATAAAGATAATTAAAAATGAATCTTAATGAAGAATGGGATGGGTGAGGGAGTAGGAGGTAGGATGGTTTGGGGGTGGGAGGGCGGGCTTGGGGGGGGGGAAGAACGCTATAATCCAAAAGTTGTACTTATGAAATTTATATTTATTAAATAAAAGCTTTCTACTAAAAAAACGATGCTGTAGGTCCTCCTCTTTATTGATATTAACTCAGTAGGGACATGAGCTAATATATTCGCTACCTTTAAGAGGTCCCTACCTACCAGGCACTGTGCTCAACACTTTAAATGCATCCTGCTTAAACCTTACTATCACCTAGTGAAAAAGGTACCAAATCATTTTACATGAGTAAACACACTTAAAATTTACATAACCTTCCCAAGTTCACATTCCTATTCATCTCTGGATGATGGCAGATAAACTTCCAGGATCACTATGAATAGCAGCTAAAATGGCTGTAAAAAAAAAATATCCTTCCTCTTTCATTCCTAACAATGAAATGGGTGGACATCACCATAAACTTATGGGATGTGTGAAAAAATCCCCAGGAATTAAAAGGATTGTTGAAAAATACAAGCAGGAATTACTAAACCTGAGGCAGTGGAATGGAGAGGTTTTGTACTGGGAAGGATCACCACTAGGAAAGAAAATACTGTAGACTGGATCAACCACTTGGGGGTTAATGTTCACATTTCACTCACATGAACTACACTTTGCATTTTTGACTTACTTAGATGAAAGTGCTCATGCTTCAATTTACTCTGAAAATGTTATAATCCACTTTTTAGAGGTAAAATTATTAAATGAGAAACTTACATACCCACATGAAGCACATAATGTGGAAAAACTTACAAAATCACAACAGCAGAGTTCTCTAAATTTTATGTCATACACCTGGCATAAAAATTAATACGAGACAGAGTTAAATGCTACAATTTATTCTTTTCAATTATTCTGTATAATTGATGATTAATGCCAAATAAATAAACTCTAAAAAAAACCAAGAAGAAAGACAAACAACCTTTGTACCTTTCACACATGTTGGAATCGGGGGCTCCCAGGTGCTATTGCTGTTACAGACAACAGTGTCACTGCCTCGAACATGATAGCCCAGGTTGCATTCAAACATAACTGTTGCTTGGTAGTAATATTTCTTCCTAAATCCTGTTATCTGTCTTCCATTTTTTAATTCTGGATATAAACACTTGACCACTGAAAAATCAAGAAACCTCAGAATAAATGGAAATACGTTTTTTAACATAGGGCCAGAAAAATTAGTACAAAGTAATCATTTCTAGTGGGAACAAAGTGACAAGGAATGGAATGCAAACTGTTAAAACAAAAAAGAAAAACTTTCATGTTAAAAAATTGTTTTATGTCAAGGCCAGTGTTGTGGCGTGTTGGGTAAAGCTGTTGCCTGCGACACTGGCCTCCACTTCCCATCCAGTTACCTGCCAATGGCCTGGGAAAAGCAGATGTTTGGGCCCCTGACACCCACATGGGAGACTCACAAGCAGCTTCTGGCTCCCGGCTTCAGCTTGGTCCATCCCCAGTCATTGCATTCATTTGGGGAGTGAACCAGCAGATGAAAGATCTCTGTCTCTCCCTTCTCACTGTAATTCTGACTTTAAAAAAAAGTAATGTAAAACAGTTTAATTCCAAAAAAAACTCCATAGAAATCTAATGACCATTCCCCCCCCCCCAAAAAAAAGAATATCATTATAGTTTATTGGTCTTGTTTTTCCCCATTGCTGACAAGTTTTGAGAAAGGTCTCACTATAAGATACAAATTTGGCTTAAGTTCAAAAACAAATTTTTTCAAGTTCATACTGTCATTAACAGTTCTCTACTTTTTTGAAAAGGTAGGAAAGATTTTTCTAAGAAGGTAATAATTTAGCTCAAATTTAAAAGTTGAAAAGAAGCTAGCCGTGCAAAGATATACCAAGAAAAGTTCCAGGCAGAAACAACATATACAAGCTGTAATGTTCACGGGATAAAAATGCCTGTGGAGTTAGGGCAGGGTTTTAACAACCCAGAGATCAAGCAACAAATCTAGACACAAGCAGACAGGCCTGAAATAAAAGTTAAAATCAATGCTTAGCTTTCAAATCAGTGGACTCTCATATTTCCCATTTTGCCCTATTTCTTTTATTTTTTTATTTTTTTTGACAGGCAGAGTGGACAGTGAGAGAGAGAGACAGAGAGAAAGGTCTTCCTTTGCCGTTGGTTCACCCTCCAATGGCCACCGCGGCTGGCGTGCTGCGGCCGGCCCACCATGCTGATCTGATGGCAGGAGCCAGGTGCTTCTCCTGGTCTCCCATGGGGTGCAGGGCCCAAGCACTTGGGCCATCCTCCACTGTACTCCCTGGCCACAGCAGAGAGTTGGCTTGGAAGAGGGGCAACCGGGACAAAATCCGGCACCCCGACCGGAACTAGAACCGAATGTGCTGGCGCCGCAAGGCGGAGGATTAGCCTAGTGAGCCACGGCGCCGGCGGCATTTTGCCCTATTTCTTAAGACATCAAATGTGGCTATGACCTACTAGATTAATTTCAGGATCTCGTTCATGGGCTTGGGAAAATTGGGGAAACAGAACAAAAAGGCTGGGCTGGGCACAGTTAGGGCGAGAGAATATCCCACTATCTTAAGTCTGAGCCATAGGCCGGGGCCGGATAATGCACAGACTGCTAAGCCAGGCTGGTGACCTTCCTTTTCCCCCGTGGATTGGCATTTCCATCTGGTATCATCTCCTTTGAGCCTGAAGAACTCCTTTCTGCAATTCTTGTGGTGCAATCTGACTAGCGACGAATTCTCTTAGCTTTTGTTCATCTGAAAATGTGTTCATTTATTTCACTTTCAGTTTTCAGTTTTCAAAGAGTCTGCCTTGTTATAGAAGTCTGGGTTTAAGTGTTTTGTTTTTCTTTTAGCACCTTTACAAGCATCACTGTGTTGTAACTGAAATTTTTTATGATTTATTTATTTGGAAGGAGGGGGAGGGAGGGAGGGAGGGAGAGAGAGAGAGAAAGAGAGAGAGAGAGAGAGAGAGAGAGAGAGAGAGAGAAATTGATCTTCTATTTACTGATTCACTCCCTTAATGGCCTCAGCAGCAAATATCTGGGCCAGGCCAAAGCCAGGAACCAGGAACTCAATCCAGGTTTCCCACATGGGTGGTAGAAGTCCAAGTATGTGGGCTATCTTCTGCTGATTTCCCAGGAACATTAGCAGGGAGCTAGATCAGAAGCAGGGTAACCAGAACCTGAACTGTACTCCCATGTGGGATGCCAGTATTGCAAGTGGCAGCTTAACCCTCTGTACTACAATGCCTGCCCCTCTGTAGTTTATTTTATTTTATTTTTTGCCAGGCAGAGTTAGCGAGAGAGAGAGAGAGAGTTATAGACAGTGAGAGAGATAGAGAGAAAGGTCTTCCTTCTGTTGGTTCACTCCCCTAATGGCCACTATGGCTGGCTCTGCACCAATCCAAAGCCAGGAGCCAGGTGCTTCCTCCAGGTCTCCCATGTGGGTGGCAGGGACCCAAGCACTTGGACCATCCTCTGCTGCCCTCCCGGACCACAGCAGAGAGCTGGACTGGAAGAGGAGCAACCGAGACTAGAACCCAGAGCCCCAACCGGGACCAGAACCTGGTGTGCCGGCGCCGCAGGTGGAGGATCAGCCAAGTGAGCCTTGGCACTGGCCACCCTCTGTAGTTTCTTAAGAGAACTCAGCTGTGATTCTAAATTGTCCCCATCCTCTTAAATGTAGTATGGATTGTTGATGTTTTTATCCCTCTTACTGCTTGCTTTTTCTCTTAGCTTTGCTTTTTAGTAATTCAAATAATTCTCCACTCCCCTCTCTCTTCTTTTTCTGATTCTCCAGTTACCTGAATGTTTGACAGCCTGATGCTCTCCCGCATGTCTGTGAGGTTCATACTTCATGTCTTTCTTCTCATACCATGTTGGATGTCCACTGCCTTGTCTCAGGTCACAGATATTTTCTTATTGCTGCTGTTGTGTCCATTTGCACCTAATGATTTTTTTTTTAAAGTTGGGTTTATTGGATATCATTTACATGCAGTACGCTCACTGTTTTCAAGTGTACAGCTGTATAGGTTTTCACAAATGTGAATAATCTTCACATAACTGCCACCAAATAAACATAGAAAAGCTCCATCACTCTTCAAAATGCAGTCATGCTTCTTTATGACTTATCTTTCCTGCCCCAGCCCTGAAACATGCCAACCACTGGTCTCTCCACCTGTCCAGCTTTCCTTAGAATGTCACAGACTAGAGTTATAACCTTCTGATAGTGACCTATTTCACTTAGATCAATGCTTTTGAGAGTCGTTTGTGTTGCTGCATGAGCTGGTCACTCACTCCTTTTTGTTGCTGAGTAGTATTCCATCATTTGGATGTAACATAGGTTGTTCCTCCAGCTGAAGGACAAGTGGTTTCCATTGTGGGGTGATGATGAATAAGACCTCTGTGAGCATCTCCACACAGAGTTCCGTGCGCACATTTTAGTTTCACGCGGGTTGCTTGGCCGTCTCTTGGCCCAAAGTGTTCCAAAGTAGTCATTCCACTTTGATATCTTACCAGTGATTTTTGAGAGTTCCATCTCCTGGATATTGTCAGTTGTTTATGTGTTTAAATTCTAATAGGCATTTAGTGGTATCTCCTGGAAACAGACAATTTGATTTCTTCCTTTCCAGACCATACACCTATTACTTTCTTCTGCTTATTGTACTGGATATCACCCCAAGATAACGGGAATGGAGTGGTAAGAGTGGTCATCCTTGCCTTGGTCATTCTTTAATCTGTTTAATTTTTAAAACAGTTTATTCATTTATTTATTTGAAATTTTTATGTGGTTTTGGTATCAGGGCCATGTTGTCCTCATTATTGGGTTGCATCTTCTTGAAAATCTTGTGTAGAGTTGCTATCATTTATTCTTTACATCTTTGGGAGAATTCCCCAGTGATGCTGTCTGGGCCAGCAGTTCTCTTTGTGGAAAAGTTATTAACTACAAGTTGTATTAGTTTAATAGATACAGGACTACTTAGGTTATCTATATCTTCCAGTGAGTTTGAGTATTTTATATCATTCAAGAAAATTGCCAATTTTTTAAAAAATGTTTTATTTATCATTTTATTTGAAAAGCAGAGAAAGACAAACAGACACACACACACACACACACACACAACACACACACACACACACACAGATTTCCCATCTGTTGGTCCAGTTCCCAAATGCCTATAATGGCCAGATCTAGGCCAGAATGAAGCCAGCAGCCCCAAACTGAATCCAGGTCTCCTACATGTGTGGCAGGGACCTGACTGAACCATCACCACTGCTTCCCAGGGCATAGATCAGCAAGAAGCTGTGACTGGAAGCAGAGCTGGGACCTGAATCCAGGTGTTACAGTGTGAGATGCAGGTATCTGACCTGCTTGTCTCCACCCCCCAATTTCATTTACAGATATATAAATAAATATATATACTGCCAAATTTATAGATATAAAGTTGCTTGTATTTTCCCTATCATCCTTTAAATAGCTGCTGGTTATTGCATGGTATCCTCTTTTTCACCCTTGATATTGGTCAGTTCTGTCTTTTTTCAATCTATCAGTTTATTCATTGTATCAGTCTGCTCTAGGAATCAGCTATAAGTTTCACTAATTTTCTCTTCTTTCTTTTTTTTTTTACTTCATTGGTTTTGTTGTTATGTTTACAATTTCCTCATTTTGTATTTAAACTTTTTCTTCATTTTTAGTTTCTTAAGGTGGAAGCTAAGCTTACTTGAAACTTCTTTCTCCAATGTAAAGTTTCATGTTATAAATCTCCCACTAAGCAATGCTTTAGCTGTATCCCACAAATTCTGATATTTTGATATACTGTGGATTTGTTTCATTCATTTCAAAATAATTTCCTATTTTGCTCCTTTTTTAAAAAAAATACAAGTTATTGAGAGATTTCTCATACAAATTTCACTGATTTGGGAATTTCCTAGATATCTTTGTTACTGATTTCTACTTTCATTCCATTGGGATTAGATAATATACTTTGGGTTTTTAATAATTTATTTTTTAAAGATTTATATATTTATTTAAAAATGAGAGTTACACACAGAGAGAGAAAGGAGAGGCAGAGAGAGAGAGAGAGAAAGAGAGAGAGAGGTCTTCTATCCGCTGGCTCACCTCCCAGCTGGCCGCAAGGGCCAGAACTGCACCAATCCGAAGCCAGGAGTTTCTTCTGGGTCTCCCACGTGGGTGCAGGGGCCCAAGGACGTGGGCCATCTTCTACTGCTTTCCCAGGCCACAGCAGAGAGCTGGATCAGAAGTGGAGCAGCCGGGTTTCAAACCGGTGCCCATATGGGATGCGGGCACTTCAGGCCAGGGCATTAACCCACCACGCCACAGTGCCAGCCCCAGATAATATACTTTGAATGATTTCAATTTTTTGACATTTATTAAAAGTTCCCTTATTTCCCAGACTACTCTTCACCTAAAGTATAGCCTGTGTGCACTTGAAAAACATGTACACCTGCTCTACAGGAGCGCCTCTTCCAAGGTGCAAATTCCCTCCAGTGTCTCCCTGCGTTTGGTCACTGTTCAGTGCCTTAAACACTGGAAGTTTAGTTTTTAAATTTAATTTTTATTTTTTAATTTATTTGAAAATCAGAGTTACAGAGGGAGAGAGAGAGAAAGGAAGGGAGAGAGAGGGAAAGAGAGAAAGATTGAGATCCTCCATCTGCTGGTTCACTCCCCAAAAGACCACAATGAACAAGGCTGGGTCAGGCTAAAGCCAGGAGCTTCTTCTGGGTCTCCCACATGGGTGCAGGGGGCCATCCTCCAGCACATTCCCAGGCACATTACCAGGGAGCTGGACTAGAAGAGGATCAGCCAAGACTCTCTCCGGTGCCCATATGGGATGCCGACTTCTCAGACAGTGGCTTTGCCTGCTACGCCATAACACCGGCCCCCATTTGAGGTTTAAAAATATCTTTTGCCCAGAGTTTGTCATTCTCATCAGTGAGAGATTTAGTTTGTTAGGATCTTTGCTACCTTTGTCTATAGTCAGACCTCTTACATTTCTTGCAATACAAGATAAAACTTTCTTGTTTTTAAGCCAATAGGTGCTGAATTTTTTGGTTCTTTCAAAGCAATCCGAACTCCCACGTACACACAGAAGTGCAACAATGTACACGACAGAATGCCAAGAGCACCATGAGGTGAGGGGTATGGCTTTCTACAACAAGAATTATTCTTTGACTTGACCTATACTCAATTGAAAGCCAATGCTACAGTAGGAGGAAGCACACATATCTTAGGTAAAATGTTCCCGAGTATTAACAAATGACAAATAGAAGGAAATAAACTGGAAGTTGATTACCTCTGCATTCGGGAGGACTGCTGCTCCACACTCCATTGGCGACACAATACAGCGATTTTTCTCCAACGAGTGAGAATTCATCTTCCCCATGAGAAGGATCACAGCTATAAGTTACTGACTCAGCATACTCAAATATATCTACATCACTAAAGGTGTATTTTCCATTTTTTATTTTTGGAGGTGGTGAACACAAAATCTCTTAAAAAGAGAAAAAAGGGAATGTAAAGGAAAGATGAAAAACCGAGGCAACATCAGTGAACTTCTATAAACTGACTTCCAAAAAATTTTCAATATAGGAGTTCCTCTCTTTTTTAAAAAATGTTTTAGTAGATTTCACAGCTAGTTAGGAATTCAGTATCCATTTATAAGAGAGTTTCTATGAAAAATTTTCTTATCCCAAATTCAAACTATTAACATAGAAATGAACTTTCAGAGCAAGACTCAAATTCTTAAGGTGTAAAACACCTACATTTATTTGCAAGGCCATGCTGTTTTGTTCTCATCACCATAAGAGATGCTGACAATTTGATGAGAAAATATGTTTATGATTAAAAATAAAACTGAGGCTGGCGCCGCGGCTCACTAGGCTAATCCTCCGCCTAGCGGCGCCAGCACACCGGGTTCTAGTCCCGGTCGGGGCGCCGGATTCTGTCCCGGTTGCCCCTCTTCCAGGCCAGCCCTCTGCTGTGGCCAGGGAGTGCAGTGGAGGATGGCCCAGGTGCTTGGGCCCTGCACCCCATGGGAGACCAGGAAAAGCACCTGGCTCCTGGCTCCTGCCATCGGATCAGCGCGGTGCGCCGGCCGCAGCGCGCCGACCGCGGCGGCCATTGGAGGGTGAGCCAACGGCAAAAGGAAGACCTTTCTCTCTGTCTCTCTCTCTCACTGTCCACTCTGCCTGTCCAAAAAAAAAAAAAACAAACAAACAAACAAACAAACAAACAAAAAAAAAAAACAAAAAAAAAAAACACTGAGTGCTGGTTGAGAAATGCTTTACAATTTATAAATATATCCATTCTCTAATTGGCGGTTCATGATAATACCAAGATAGCTTTTTTCATACTCACTCTTACAAGTGTACATTGACTTTTCCCAGAGGCTACAAATTATGTGCTAACCCAAGAGGTCAAATCCAAAAGTCTTTCTTTAAGGCAGACATGAAGAAATTTGCAACAGTTAAAATCAATGTTACTATCCTGACTATATATTTTGTTTGGGGGAAATTTTTATTTATTAAAAGATATGTTACATAGGTTAATATTATCAATTTTTTATTCATAAAAATGAATTAAATAATTATTTTTAAAAACTCAGCTTTAATTCTAATGTAATAAACACCAACAGATATAACCCACATTAACAAAAGCTCTTTAGAGTCCTCCTTAATCTCAGATCATAAGGGATCCCAGAGGCTGACACATCTGAGAACTGCTGGTCTACATTTTACAAGAGTTCACTTACTTTCACATCGTGGGACAGCATGGCTCCAGAATGTCCTTGCTCCTTTAAGCTGACAGAGTATAAATTTTCTACCAACTAGGTAATAACTAAATAAAAAGCAAAAGTTACTGTTTTCTTTAGCAGTTAATAAAAGGCACAAAATAACAAAAGGGATCTTCTATGGTTGTTTATCTATGCTGCCTAGCTTAAGGGAAAGGTTTCTTAACCAACGTATAATGAAAATGCTAAATAAATCTGTGTTTAATCCAGTAAATATTTGCGGATTAGAACACACCCTTGCCATCAGCATAGATGTCTAGAAAGATCTGCTGTGGCTGCCAGCCTGGATTCTCTGCTGTTTCCCTGCGTGCTCATTTCTCTACTTTGACTCACACATTCTGCTCAGCAAGGATGAGGACTGGGGAGAGGGAGGAGGCCCTGGAGCTGTCTGCCTGGCTTCCAGTCCTGGCTCCACTCCTTACTGGCTACTTGAGCTTGGGCAAACCACTGAATCTTGTCTTGCTCACTTCCCTCCCTCGGTGAAAGGAGGATGTCTTGCACAGACTGCTGCAAGATGAGAAGAGTAAGACCCAGCACATGGTAAGTGCCTGGTGCGTGTTAGCCCCGAGTGATAATCCTGCTATCAGAATCTCATCCTGGGAACAGCTCAGGAATACTTGCTCCCAGTGAATTCTCCCCTGATAATTTACATACTTAAGAATCTCTCCTCCTCCTGGGCTCTCACTGTCATGATCATGTGGCATTCTCTTTTGTGGTATGTCTCATTCACTGTTACACTTGGGCAGCTCTCCTTATAGAGTGTGCTTCTCAGTAAGGCTGCCACTTCTCTGAGAAGGAGCCATTGTCTTAAACTTTTGGTTCCCGAAGTTTCTAGTGAGCTCTATGTAACATTAGCTGAATGTTCCAATATTTTTACTTGATCAGGTTAAAAAACAGTCAGTGAAACTGCTTGTACGTTGTCATAGCTGACTTTTTCCCTAAGGCTCATTGATTTATTATATTTCCATGCACTCTATTTGTTCCCTAAAAACAGAGTTTTCATAAATGCCCATAATCCTCAATATATGCTTCTAAAGAACCTCACAGAACAGAGGTGAGTATTTGGGGCCCAGTGCCCCTTTTAGATGTGCTGCCCTCCTTTGTAGCAGTCTAAAAAACGAGGTTTTCCAACTGAGAGATCTTGATGAACATGATGGTAAAGACTAGCCGGCCAATTTTGGTTTAGTTAACACCTTATAGCATTATCTGGATATAAGAAAATCCTTGGCTGGCAAAATTCTACCTCTTGGTACTGCTTTGTGGCAAAGCAGGTAAAGCTGCCACTTACAGTGCTGGCATTCCATATGGGTGAGGGTTCGAGTCCTGGATGTTCCACTTCTAACCCAGCTCCCTGCTAATGTGCCTGGAAAAGCAGCAGAGGATGGCCCAAGTGTTTGCACTCCCCTGCACTCATGTAGAGACCCAGAAGAAGCTCCTGGTTCCTGGCTTAACCTGGCCATTGCAGCCATTTGGGAAGTGAACCAGCAGATGGAAGATCTCTGTCTGTCTGTCTGTCTCTGTCTCTCTGTAACTCTGCCTTTCAAATAAATAAAATCTTTCCAAAAAAAATTCTACCTCTCATTTTTGAGAGTCCTATTCAATTCAAGAAGCTAACAGTTTCAAACAGCGTTCACTTGGTTATGAAAGATAAAGTCATCATGATTATCATAGGCTTATTATTATGTATAGCAAATATTATTCAATTTTGCTTTCCTTTGATTTCATTTTCTTTCTATTTATTATGAACCCCTCTTGTCTCTATAAAACGTCCAAGAGTTGTTTGGCTAGAAGTACAACCTCTTTGAGAGGAAGCAGAATGAAAGCAAGTTTATATGAACACTTAAGAACAGGAGCAAAACAGAAATGGAGTTAGCAACATTTACCTTACATCCTCTAAGGAGCAACTTACTCACCCCTCGTCACACACAAAGTGAACCTGATGGCCCCACGCGATAGTTCCATTTACAAGGTGTTCTCTGCAGTGTGGGATGGTTGGCAGTTTGGGGCATTTTAGCTCTAAAAGAAAATAATTTTAAAATAGTTCTCAAAATCCAATTTCAAATATTTGAATCAAAACCAAAATTCTACATTGCTCTTTTGAATTTGTGGGAATATTGGTTTTTGCTGTAACTATTGCAAAGGCAAATCTAAGCTTGGCATTTACTCAGGCAACCAATTGCCAAGAAAATCATTCCCTGGCAATTTCTCAAAGCGCCGCCCGCCAGATATATTTCTATCTAAAACCTCATTTCACATGAGAAAATCATCATTGTAATAGTGGAATATGCACCCTAAAATGTGAAAATATTTAGAGCAAGCAAAAAAAAAAAAAAACCCTGTTTTATTTACTTACTTTCACAAGCCCAATCAGTGATAGGAAGCCATGAGTTGTTCAGTTCACAATATGTAGTTGTGGTAAACGTATATGCATGTTCCCATCCTTGTTTACACTTGTAATTTACCTGATCTCCAGGAGAATAAGAGGGCTTTTGTTTACCAACCATCTCCATAGCCTCAAATTTTGGTGGTGGACCACAGGCATCTAAGGACAAGGGAATAAAAATAGGAAGATAGGTGAAATATTGATACCATTGTCACCAGCCAGGAATTGTGATTTGGCAACAAGTAGTACAGAAAGCACGGATATCATATGTCCTTGACAAGCTTTCAATCAGTATTCCATGTGTTTCCCCAAGGTAGTAGTAGAGGAAGGTGACTTTTTTAAAATAAAGATTTATTTATTTATTTGAAAGATAGAATGAGAGAGAGCAGAGAAAGAGAGACAGAGAGAGAAAGAGAAAGGAAGGATCTTCCATTCGCTAGTTCACTCTCCAAATGTCCTCAATGGCCAACTCTGGGCCAGGCCGAAGCCAGGAGCTTCCTCTGGATCTCCCACATGAGTGCAAGGGCCCAGGGACTTGGGCCATCTTCCACTGCTTTCCCAGGTGTGTTAGCAGAGAGCTGCATCGGACTTGGAGAAGCCAGGACTTGCCTACACTGGGACATGGGCACTGTAGGCCTCAGCTTAACCCACTGCACAATGGCACCAGTTCTGGAATGTGCCTTTTAAGCCAACCATTTTAAGTACATACTATTTGTTTTTGGTTTGTTTGGGAAGAAACTGAGTTTTCATTCAGTGGTAAATTGAGCAGACTGTATCAATGGTTTTGATCTTTAAAATACATACTCAGGAGCCAGTGCTGTGGCGTAGAGGGTAAAGCCGCTTCCTGCAGTGCCAGCATCCCCTATGGGTGCCGGTTCAAGTCCCAGCTGCTCCACTTCCATCCAGCTCTCCGCTGTGGCCTGGGAAAGCAGTAGAAGATGGCCCAAGTCCTTGGGCCCCTGCACCCGCATAAGAGACCCAGAAGAAGCTCCTGGCTACTGGCTTTGGATCAACACAGTTCTGAACATTGTGGCCATCTGGAGACTGAACCAGCGGAGGGAAGACCTCTCTCTCTCTCTCTCTCTGCCTCTGTCTCTCTGTAACTCTGCCTTTCAAATAAATAAATAGATATTTTAAAAAAAATACAGGTATGTATCTTTCCCTACTTTTTCTACGTTCATTTCAAAACTGACCTCTAAGAGATCTTCTACAGTATGAACTCATATCACTGCTCAGATGCCTCTTGTATGCTTGGAAACACAGACTTAGGACAGCTGGTCACTTAAGATTCAGTCTCCGCCTAGAAGGAAAATTCCTGGGGATGGGCCTTGTGGTGCAGTGGGTTCAGCCACTGCCTGTTGATGCCAGCTTCCCACTGCTCCAATTCCGATCCAGTTCCCTCATAATGCATGTGAGAAAACAGTGGAAGAGGACCCAAATGCTTAGGCTCATGACACCTATGTGGGAGATCTGGATGGCTCCTGGATTTGGCCCAGTTCAGCTCCAGGGGTTGCATTCCTCTGGGGAGTGAACCAACCCTTACTCTACCTTTCAAATGAATAGAATAAATCTTAATAATAAAAAAGGCAAGTTCCTCAAGGCCAGGGACCATAGTGGTCTTATTCACTACATGCTGGCCCCAGACCCAGCAGGTACTTGAGAAATGCCATGGAGAAGTTGTTATTAAATAAGCATTGTGTGTGTGTGTGGGGGGGTGGACATTTGGTGCAGTGATTAAGATGCTGCTCAGGGGCTGGCACTGTGGCATAGCAGGTAAAACAGCGGCCTGCAATGCCAGCATCCCATATGGGCACTGGTTTGAGTCCTGGCTGCTCCACTTCCAATCCAACTCTCTGCTATGGCCTGGGAAAGCAGTAGAAAATGGCCCAAGTCCTTGGGCCCCTGCACCCATGTGGGAGACCTGGAAGAAGCTCTTGGCTCCTGGCTTCAGATCGGCCCAGCTCTGGCTGTTAAGGGCATTTGGAGAGTGAACCAAATGGAAAATCTCTTTCTCTCTCTCTGCCTCTGCTTATCTGTAACTCTGCCTTTCAAATAAATAAATAAATCTTAAAAAAAAAATATGCTGCTCAGACACCTGAATCCCATATCATAGTGCCTGGGTTCGAGTCCTAACTCTACTTCTGATGCTCCTGCTATGTACACTCTGGGTGGCAGCAGGTGATCACTTAAGAAGTTGAGTATTTGCTACCCGTATGGGAAACTCAGATTGAATTTCCAGCAAATTACAGAGCAAGGAGTTAGGCAAGTACTGCTTAATTCCCGACTCAAGGAAGTAAAGGCAGTGCATCAAAGTTGGGGGTGAGCAGGGCGTGACCCGCTCCTGTGTGGGGCCCTAGTTGGTCCACAGTGCAGGTGGCCTTCCTCTGATTGGCCAGTGATGGGGCCAGTGTGTTTCCTTTGGAATGGCAATGGTGAACTCCAGTCTGGGTGGGTCTGAGGGTAGACTGGGATTACTTTGATTGGGGTCTGTGAGTCCCTGCAAATCTCTCAGAATAGAGGCTGACATGGAGAAGTGGACTATTTAGGGCCCGTTATACTTGTGGCACTCCTTTAACTTAGTAAGTTTATCTTCCTAGAGGATCTGCCAGCTAAGGCAGGGACACTGATAAAGTGAACATCAAAAGCAATAGGGGCCGGTGCTGGCTCACTTGGCTAATCCTCCGCCTGCGGCGCTGGCACCCTGGGTTCTAGTCCCAGTTGGGGCACTGGATTCTGTCCCAATTGCTCCTCTTCCAGTCCAGCTCTCTGCTGTGGCCTGGGAGGGCAGTGGAGGATGGCCCAAGTGCTTGGGCCCTGCACTCACATGGGAGACTGGGGGGAAACACTTGGCTCCTGGCTTCGGATCGGCACAGCGTGCCGGCTGTGGCAGCCATTTGGGGGGTGAACCAACGGAAAAAAGGAAGACCTTTCTCTCTGTCTCTCTCTCCTCTCTTTCACTGCCTAACTCTGCCTGTCAAAAAAAAAAAAAAAAAAAAGCAATAGAGATAAGGGTCTCAGTGTTGCTCTCATTTCATGTCACATTCTAAATTCTAAGCTTCTCTCTGTATACACAGTCCAACATTTTATTTGATTCATGTCCTGCAATCTCTGTGTTGTCGATGAATTTTCACCGTTTGCACAGTGCTGACCTTGACATCTAAATTTCCTCAGCCTACCACCTAAAACAAAATAAAAGCAAAGAAAAGCGAACCCATTCTAGTAATTAAAGCAAACAGAGTTAGTACAGAGTTAAGTTTTACTGCTAACATTAAATTGACTGAGTACCCTGAGCCAGTCATTTTCAGTTTACAATAGGAAAAGGAGGGAGGTAGGGAGTCCCTAGGAACACTGTGCAATTCTGCTGTAGATACAAATGCTAACATTATTATAGAATTTCTTGGAACTGCCAAGATGGAAATCAGGTAACAGTATGTCAAAGACAAAACTATACACGTATTCTTTGTTTTAGATGTTCAATTTGAATAACTATGGACAGCAGCTAAAGAGTACAAACTCAACTCACACAAACAGTGCTCTGAGTGAAAGAAGAAATGTCAGTTAGATGCTTTAGTCCCATGTAGTCCATGGGAATTTGAAATATTTGAAATATTCTTCTCCCTAACACATATCAAGACAGAGATATGCTTCCAACAATATTCAGAGTTTTAAACCTTTTGACTGGCAACTAGTGGGTTACAAGCCTTATACCCTGTAATAAATAATTACCTCACTTTTTTAATAATTCAATTTCTTCTCTTCCTCAGATCACTGAATTTTCTTCCTGTGAAGATTCTTTGAAGTAAACACCCCCAGCTCCAGGAAAATTATCTTGAGTTCTTTTTCTAGATATTTTATGAAGTGGTTAAGTTGCACTGCTACACTTTAACGAGAGATGTCACTATTTAATATGATAGGCTGTCTCAGGCAAGTTTTCAAAAAGTGATTTCTCTCCCTACCCTGGATCTACTGAATCGTTCACCTTCTCTACATTTATATCTTCTTGCAAAAATTAATTCTCTGTCACACCCACACTGCACCAGAGGGTCCATATCATCAGGTGTGCACACCAGAATGGCGATGAAACATGACAGCAGGTCATTTCTGGTCCTCAGCTGCTCTGTCCTAGCTTGTTAAACGTGTTTGGACAATAATTTCGGTGTTACCTGAAGGCCCATGTGTTAAAGTCTTGATCCGCAGGGTCTTATGTGAATAGACTAAGGATGGAACTTAATGTAGTTTCGGTGTTGAAGCTGGGGCTTGGAAAGTGATTAGAGTGGATTCGGTTTTTGGGAGCACTTATGGTGGAATCATTGTGGCTATGTGGAGAGAGACACATGCATGTGCAAAGAGTGAGCATGCTCCCTGTATCTCTGTTTCCTGACTCACCATGTGACCATCATTCTTCCATCCTCTGGATTTAGCAAAGGCCTGAGCCAATGGGGCCACCGAGTCTTGGACTGTTAACTTCCAAAGCTGTAAAGCGAGACCTGCTTCCTTCCTAAAGCTCCTCCCACCCGGAGGCAGGAGGAATATTTTCCTGGGCTCTAACCTTGGTCAAAATATTCTCTATGATCTCCTAGTACTTAGTAATTATGAAAGAGTGTTGAGACTGAGGCAATAAATAAATAAATAAATAAATAAAGGACACCTGGAGCCACAGGTGTCACCACACAGATATCTGCATTCTAATAGGGAGCAACAGAGAGCAAAGATAGCTTTAGAAGGGAGATTAAAAGTGGGGTGGGGGTGGGCTTTGAGCAGGTCTGATATCTCTGAGAGAGGGTGGTGGGGAAGGTGAGGGGGGCGGTACAGTGAGGGAAGCCTGGCCTGCCTGGTGCGCAGAATCTTCCCTGCTCCTGTCACTGGTCTGTACTGTTAGAAGATCATGCACTTTCCTCCAGGGCCTGTCTCTGAGTTTATGGTCCATGTTTCTGTCAGTATTAAGCCTTGGGTCATGTCTGCCACTCCCTGAAAGTTTTAGCAAACATTTTTTGATTGTGTTCCTGGCACTGGAGATTCACCAGTGAGCAGAGTCCCTGCTCACACTCACGCACATATGAGGATGCTTCAGAATGTTTGTGGAAAATGAAATTAACAGGTGAGAGATTTTGAAATCCACGCATAGTTTTTTCATAATAACTTTTCAGGAACTTTTTGAAGAGCCCTGTAATATGTAATGGGATCCTAATTATGATAGCTGGGGCAAACACACACAAAGTACATAGAAAAGCACACAAAAAATACCAAAATGTTAAAAGTGGTTTTTCTTTGTGTGCGGTGTGCTCAATATTTTAAATGTGCATTTTAAAGTATTTATTCATTCAATGAATGATTAAAAGAACAGATTTAATTATAAGGCTGTAGGGAAAACTCACATTAACATGATTTAAGTCCCTTTCTTAAAATACTAATTTCTCACTAGGGTTGGCAACAATGTGGTTTATGCTCCTCCGGATCGCCTCAAATGTGACTCAGCCTTATGAAAACAAGGAAAATAACGCCAGAAACTCTTTAGGTGATAGAATCGGATACTGTCTGAATTGATTAGGAATGGGAAAAGAACTCCGTGGTTTATAAAAAAAAAAAAAAAAAAAAAAGAAAGAAAAGCAACTGTTTGTAAGCCAAGACTCATACAGTGTCTTGCTTCACTGGAGGTTCCGAAACGGTGGCGTGCTCTTACCGTTCCTCCAAGCAGGTAGCTCCAGGCCTGCAGAACCGCAGCCGGAGCACAGGCCGAGCGCGAGCCGGCCCGGAACGCAGGACAGCGAGCACTGCAGGGCGGGCCGCTTCGGCCACGCAGACTCCGAGCAGCCCTGGCCAGCGCATCTCAAACCCCGAAACCCAGCACAACCGGGCACGGCAGGCTCGCGACAGCCCGAGACTGTGGGGAGCAGCCCCACTCACCGACGCATCGGAGCAGGCAGGGTAAGCTCAGCGCGGGCCGCAGCAGCACCTCCACGCACCTGGGCAATCCCAAGTGCAAGAAGGCCTTTACGTGGTGCACCTGTTCGTGCTCAATCCCGGAAATGCATTGCAAGCTTGGGCTAGGGACAGTGCCAGGCGCCGGGGAGACGCCCCCGACGCCCGCCACTCGACCGCCAAGCACACGGTCGCTCGGGTGCTGCGTGGTCCCCACAGTCCCCCGCTACACGCGCGCGCTCCCGGAGCACAGGCACTGCACCTGCCCGAGCCGCGCCCGCCCGAGCTCCAGCCTCGCGGCCGGCGAGCGCGCCCTCTGCAGGGTCCTACCCGAGAAAGTGAACAGCAGGAACCCCACAGTCACCAGGAGCGTCCCAAGCACGCGCCACCGTGAAGGAAGCGGACTCTCGCGCCGGACCGACGGCTCCTTGCTCGGCGCGGAAGACGCCGTCATTTTTCCAGACCTGGGCGAGGAAAACTGGCAACTAACTGAACAGGGGAGCCCTTTTTGAGTCTGGGGAGCAAACGCAACAATCCCCAAACTCACAAAGTGTCAAGGTGGGGGTGGCCACGACAGGTGGGCGTGGCCTGGGCGGAAGTGACAGGAGGCCGAGCAGGCTGGGGCCAATTGGAGGGCGGAGGGGCGGGGCCTCAAGCGGACGGGCGGGGCCTGGAGGTGCCGGAGCGACCCGGGTCGGCGGCTGGCCAGGGCCTCGCGGTTCTTTGCAGACCGCGGCGTTTGTAAACAGGGCCGCTGCCCTACCCAGGAAGGGTGGGAAGAAACCAGCTGGTGCTGTTGTCATCGTTTCTGGGAACTCCCCCTTGAAGAATGAAGCCTGTCGGCCTAAAGAGCGAGACCCGGAGCGCAGGCCGGGGGTGGCGGTGGAGCCGCTCCCCTCAGGCCCCGAGGCTGTCCGGAGCGGCGGCCCCGGGGATGGCCGTTGTCAGGCGTGCTGGGGCGCCGGGGGGCCGGGAGCAAGCTTCGCTAGCACAGAGGCGTGGGAACCCGAGGACGCGCGGTTCCGGGGCCTCGGCGAGCGGCCGGCCGCGCTGAGGAGAGCGGCTGAGGAGAACTGTGGTGGACCGGCGAGACCGCACAGGCGCTGTGAGGGAGCCTGCGTGACGACAAGGGAAAGTAAAGAGCGCGTGGAGTGGCCGGCACGAAACCAGCAGACAAGACGGGCGGACGTGTTCTTCCTGTCAGACAGGCGGAGAGTGAAAACATCAACCCGTGCGAGTGGCTTTTCAGGACTCTTAGAGCCTTGAAGTGAACAAGCCTTGTGGGCCCCCCGTGCCCCTCAGTTTACACCAAAGACATCAGAGCTCTGAGCGAAGGTTTATAATTTCGGGAAAAAATAGAAATCCTAGAAGTGGCGAAAGCATTAAGGAATTTATGGTAGGTATCTTTATGTGTTGGAATTCAGGGCAGCAAGTATTGTAAGAGTATCACCGTGAGAAACTATGATATATTTGTATGCCGGAAAAATCAACTCCAAATCCGTACACGGCTTTTATTAACACAAACGTATCCTGTTGTTACCCATAAAGAGAGACATTGGAAATACACCCACAATAACATCAGCTGATAGGATTGTAGACATTTCATTTTCTTTTGCATTTTCAGCTTTCTGCGTTTTCTGTTGATCCTATGTTAGGTTCAGAATAAAATAAAACGTTTAAAAAAATTCAACCTGTATATCAAAGACTGTTTTGTTCATAAAATCATGAATTACACAAGACTGATGTAGGAGAGGATGGCATGGAAATAGAGGGTAACCATATAGATCTCAAAAGAGGTCTTCTGGAATTATAGAACTTTATCTATCGCTACTACAGCTCTGTGTCTGAGAGGTACTGAAGACTTTCTGGTTTCACCAAATCATGTAATTACTTTTGTCAGAACAACAATGAAGCGATTGATTCTAGGCAGAGCATAAAATACACTATGCCTGAAGGTGATGTATAAAATCAACACCTGAGAATCTTGGAGGATAAAATCCAGACACATCTCAATGTCAAGGAAATGAGGTATCGTTGAGAACACATCGATGAAGAATTATTATTTCTATTAGTGCCTAGGGTTATGCAAGGCAGACATGTTTTGTGACTCAGTGTCAGCACTTACTGGTGAAAACAGAATCAATTTGTTTCTGTATAACAATAAATGCTAAAAATGTCCCAGGCTTGGTAGTAAGTCACTTGTATTTTTTCTTCCAAGAAATTTAAAAAGAAAAATACATGGCTAGTGTTTAGTTTCATGTGCTGGATTACATTGATGTCTTTCTTATTGGAACTTGTTTCGATCAGAATTTCTGTCCCTCTGGTTTCTCAAGCGATTCTTAATGTACTTTCACATGGAGTTTTGTAAAACTAATTGTAATTTGACACAGTAGAGGCTCCATTTGAAATGTTCTGAGCCTTGTTCCCAATTTTGTGTGCAAGTTCCATGAACCAGGAGTAGAGTTTTCTTGCCATATTTCCGGTGCCAACTCATCTCAAATGAACACCTGGTAAACACTGTATGAGATAAATGAGTCTTGTTGTCAAGAGCAGTTAACATATCTCTGCCAGTTCTCTCCCAGCGTGAATGTATCAAATGCTAGAAAAGTTCTGACTTTCAGTAATTTTAGACACTAGGAGAAAAAGTGGGATTTGCCTCTAAAAGGAATGAATGACAACTGTCTGCACAGAAAACTGTCCCAAGTCAACCATCGTAAGCTCACTTGTAGAGTGGAACTACTGTCTAACCCATTAGCCTTGAGATGGTTTTAGTGGCTGAGTTCAAAGGGAGAGTTTTGAGAGTGAACTTCCTGAGGGGTAGAACTCAAGAGTCAATGCTTTGAATGAAATAGGGAATTAGATACCAGTGGTTCCACTGATTCCCCTCAAAGATTTTGTCAAATTGTCAAAGAGAAGAAAAGGGGAGAATGGAGGATCTAGGTATTTGTGGGCCAAGGTTTAGAACCATGTGTACTTTCCTTTAAGGCTTTATGAAGGGCAATGGAGTAGGGGTGACATGGAATGCCATTAAATGGTAGCCAACTTGTTTAAAATTTAATGTTAGATGATTCTCTGCCTCTGAGTCTATTTACATTATGCTTTTCCAGAAACGGATGCTACAGCATGAATGGACATCTGCTTGTACCTGGTGAGTACCAGCCAGCCAGTTGGCTTTCATGTTTAGTTGTGCCACAGTCTCTTTCCCCTTAACCAGCAAAAGCATTACTGTGGTATGCCATATCCAAGACAGGGATTCTGATAACAATCAAGGAGAGCAAGAAGGACATTTCTCAGAAAGGACATGTATTTATTTTTGTGTCTTCTTTGCTAGTAAAGGTTTTAGAAAGGTAAATTGATAATAGACACTATATTCCATAAATAGATTTGCAGTTAAAGTCTCATTCCTTTCTCATTTTAATGGTGGAGACAGAAAACTATTTAAATGTCATAGATTTTAACCAACTTACATCTCACACTTAAGTGTACAAAAAGAAAAAAAAAACAGTACATGAAAGAAAATAAGCCAGCATAGAAATATCTTAGGAGAGTAATTGGACCAGCCTGTGCTTTTCAGATAAAAAATAAGACCAGAGGTTAATAGAAATGCTTAAGAATACAAGTCATGCTAGACAAAATAGCATTTTACCCACAGTGTATATAGTATTTCCCGTGATAACTGACAAAATAGAAAAAAAATTGTGTGTCTTTCTTGCAATTAAAGTCACAGGCATCAGATACTTATTAATCATATTGCTCCAGACTCTATTCTGAAAGGAAAAAAATTTATTTTAATGACAGAAAGGCAAATTCTCAAACAACTGATTTCTAGCCCTTCTTTGAGTTACTTCTTCAAAATCCCAGGAAATAAGAGATTCATTAAAGATGCAACTTTAAGGGGCCAGCGCTGTGGCACAGGCTAATAACCTGGCCTGAAGCGCTGGCATCCCATATAGGCGCCAGTTCGAAACCTGGCTGCTCCACTTTCAACCCAGCTCTCTGCTATGGCCTGGGAGAGCAGTAGAAGATGGCCCAAATCCTTGGGCCCCTGCACCCACGTGGGAGAGCCAGAAAAAGCTCCTGGCTCCTGGCTTCGAATCGGCGCAGAAGCCAAAAACAAGCAGAAGATGGCCCAAGTACTTGGACCCTTACTACCCATTGGTTTCATTGCAGGACTGAACCAACAGACAGGAGATCTCTTTTTCTGTCTCTCCTTCTCTGCCACTTTGCCTTTCAAATAAATAAATCTTTTTTAAAAATGTTTTAAAAAAAACAACAGAAATTAGCAGTGGCCATATACAAAGCTGTTATTAGAACACCCAGAAAGATTCTGACATTTTCTAGAGATTATTAGCATGGTCTGTAATGCCATAAAAATTTTTTTAACTATAGGAGCGTGGCCTGATTAAGGATCACAGGGCCACTTATTTAAAAAGTGTCAACCCATGTTTATTAACTTGATAAATTCTTTTTAATTGACACATAAGAAATTGCACATATTTATGAAGTATATGTATTAATTCTTTGAGGTGAAAATATTAAAAATCCTTTCTTCTAGCTTTTAAAAAAGATTTAATGCATCATTGTTATCTGTAGTCACCTTACTGTGCAATAGAACACCGGCACTTATTTCTCCTAACTGTAACTTAAAACCTGTTGACTGATATATTTTTTTTTTTAGATTTATTTTACTTATTTGAAAGACACTGTTACAGAGAGAGGTAGAGACAGAGAGAAAGGTCTTCCATCTGCTGGTTCACTCCCCAGATGGCCGCAACAGCTGGAGCTGTGCCGATCCGAAGCCAGGAGCTTCTTCCGGGTCTTGGACTTGGGCCATCTTCTACTACTTTCCTGGGCTATAGCAGAGAGCTGGATCACAAATGGAGCAGCCGGGACTAGAACCAGTATCCACAATGGATGCTGGCGCTTCAGGCCATGGCTTTAACCTGCTGTGCCACAGTGCCGGCCCTGACTGATATATTCTTAACACTTGCACTTATCTCGTTAATGTAGGATATCCTCAGTCCATATAAAGGTGAGCTAATGTGGCCAGTGTTGTGGTAAAGCCACTGCCTGTGATGCCAGCATCCTGTATTGGCACTGGTTTGTGTCCTAGCTGCTCCGCTTCTTTGCTAATGGCCTGGAAAAAGCACTGGAGGACAGCCCAACTGTTTGGGCCCCTACTATCCACATGAAGACCTAGATGAAGCTCTTAGCTCCTGGCTTTGGCTTGGCTCAGCCCTGGCTTTTGTGGCCATCTGGGGAGTGAACCAGGAGTTCGAAGATCTCTTTGTCTCTCTCTCTCCTTTTACTCTTTCAAATAAATAAATAAATAAATATTTTTTAAAAATATGAGCTAGTGGCCGGTGCCGTGGCTCAATAGGCTAACCCTCCACCTGTGGCGCTGGCGCACTGGGTTCTAGTCCTGGTTGGGGCACCAGATTCTGTCCCGGTTGCTCCTCTTCCAGTCCAGCTCTCTGCTATGGCCCGGGAGGGCAGTGGAGGATGGCCCAAGTCCTTGGGCCCTGCACCCGCATGAGAGACCAGGAGAAGCACCTGGCTCCTGGCTTCGGATCAGCGCAGTGCACCAGCTGCAGCAGCCATTGGGGGGTGAACTAATGGAAAAGGAAGACCTTTCTTTCTGTCTCTCTCTCTCTCACTGTCCACTCTGCCTGTCAAAGAAAATAAAAAAAAGATGAGCTAGTTACCTTTAATAATGATTATTTTAATTTTTAATACAGAACATAGTATAAAGTGCTTTTGAAATAGATTATGAAATATCCTAACTTTCATTGTTTTCCTACATATTTTTCTTGTGTAGTCTTGACCACTGTCCCCAATAATCATTCAATGTATTTTTAGCAAAAAAATTATTTTCCTTTCCTAGAGAAATGAAAAACTTATGGAGCATATATTTATTCCAATCTATTTAAAAGAAATAGATTTTGCTCCATAAAATACAAGGGAACTTTAAAGAAGACATGTGTATATAAAGAAATACATAAATTAGTAAAGATTGGCAGAAAATGAATTAAAATATTAACAATGGTTATCACTGGTCATAATTATATATGACTTATTAGTGTTTGTATCTCTCTGCATTTCCCAAATTATCCTTAATGAGCCTATTCTATATTATAAACATTTTAAAATAAGAAAAATGGAAAGCTCCTCTGCATACCTTCTTCCTTTAGTAATGGAAATTATTTTCTATACCCTAAGTGTCCTCTGTCTTTCTGAGAAGATAATGTGTGCATTAGCACCAGGGAGGGAGTGACAGACAGAAATGCAAACTAAGGGGAGGGAAGCTCTGCTAGATATGGGAAAGCTTCAGCATCTTCTAGTGCATATGTTTGCCTCTGTGAAGTCGCTTCAAAGACTGTGAATCTCAGACCTCACGTTGTTAAAAAGACTTGGCTCTTTTCCAGCCAACATTTAATTCAAGGTCTTTTCCAGTTCAACAAGTACTGTGTCAAGGAAGGACACTGAGATAATAAGGTATTTTTATTTTGATGACAGCATTATCAACAACTGAACTGCTGAAAATTTATAGGCTGAATTTACATGCTTATTTTACATCATGATGTTAACATTACATGTAAATTTCCAGTTTATTAGAAGTGTTTATTGCCCTCTGTTGTGGTTGCTATGTGTGGGCACATGAAAGTATGGTGTAAGTTGAGACACTGAGTAAATAAGAGACTAACAGTAACTTGACCTTTTCCTTTTTTTTTTCTCTTCTTGGTAAAAGAAAAAAATATCCTCAGAGTTGAGCAACTAAAAAAAAGCACTCTGCCTTTCAAATGAATAAATTTTAAAAAAAAAGAACCTTCTTCCAGAACACATGCAAGTTGTTCCTAAGGCATAAAACATTTCCTTGAATGTTCTTCTGAACCATAAGGAGAGTCTGCTTCAGAAAGCAAGTCCTCTTCCCCTACTTACAGTAAAGCATGAACCAGGGAAGTATAGTTGGTCCAGTGTATCCATATTCTTCCCTGGCCTTGCTGGAACCTTTCTCCCCAAGACCAGGAATGCTGTCCTTGTACCAACAGATAGGCCTCCTGATGAGGCCCACTGGCTCACCTGATCCTTGGTGATTACAGCCATGTAATTCCTCATCATCATTCACTTCTTTTTTTTAAAGATTTATTTACTTATTTGAAAGGCAGAGTTACAGAGAGGCAGAGGCAGAGAGGGAGAGAGGTTTTCCATCTACTGGTTCACTCCCTAAATGGCTGCAACAGCCAGAGGTGGGCCGATCCAAAGCCAGGAGCCAGGAGTTTCTTCTGGGTCTCCCAAGCTGGTGCATGGGCCCAAACACTTGGGCCATTTTCTACTGCTTTCCCAGGCCATAGCAGAGAGCTGGATCAGAAGTGGAGCACCTGGGACTCCACCCAATGCCCAAATGGGATGCCGGCACCATAGGTGGTGTCTTCATCCCCTGCGCCACAGTGCTGGCCCCCATCATTCACTTTCTATGTCACACCTGCTACCTGCATTGCCTCCCAACATGTTCTTGTCGCGTAACACAGCGGTGTCTCTGATCAGAGTCTGCCTCTGCCTGCGTGACCCACTGTGCTCCAGCACCTGACTAGGGTGCATAGAAGGTATACTTTGTGTAAACTTTTAACTCATTCCTTGTCTGCCATATGTTATCACAAATGATTAACCTCATTCCTGTGAAACGTGGTTAAAATTCCAATGTTAACAAGGAAAGACAAAACTGTTCAGGACTTCCTATCTTTGTATTGACAGGTGATCAATATTCAATGTACACAATTTGAGGTATACTCTGATGTAAAAGAGTGATTTCAAAAACACTTATCAAAATGAAATTTTGATAAATTCATTTGAAAGCATTTACTGAATACCAGTTATTTGATTAATTCTGTACCCAGATGTTTTGAGAAATGTTAACAAATGGTCTTTACTCAAAGTCAATAATTTGGCAAGGGAAAGAAAACACACATAGGTACAATGCATGGTACAATATATGTGGCTAATGAATATTTACAGAATGAGCAAACGAGAGAATGCAACTGAGTTAATAGGCAAAAAGCACATAGCATGTTGAATACTATGGGAAGTGATTACATGCAGTTCTAATGACTGGAGAAATGGTTGTCATTTGGTGAAAAACAAAGAGGAGTCAATAAGATACAATCAATGTAATCTTAAAGCATAATCCTACAAATGTAAACTAACATGCACAGAAGTTTAAAAATACAAGGTTATCAGTAGACTGTATTGCAAGTAATTTTTATATTTTAATTTTCTCTGTATTTTCTTTTTTAATAATGTGCACATATTACTCTTACAATTGTTTATTTTAAAGGCAGTACAGTCAGGAAATGCTGCGAGATTCAAAAAGAGGCATCATTTTGGACTGGTGTTGTTCAGCAGAGCTTCTTGGATGAGTGAATTCTGAGCTGGGTCAATGAAACTTGAATAGGAAGAAAGGTGGAAGAGAGTTTTAGGCAGATAACCTGGCAGGAATGTGTCTAGATCAAACAATATTTTAAGCACCTTTGTGGAATATAAAAATGAACTCTTACGAGAATGATCATTGTCCTCACAGTCTACTGTTACTTTATCTGTTTGTAATTCATGGTAGTGTGGCTGACCTTGAATCAGCTCTACACAGCTTTTCTATCACAGCTCTCCAAGAGCAAAGGAAAGTGAGGGCCTCATCTAAGAACTTGGATGCATAACTTAAAGCATCCCTAAAAGTGCAATACCTTTGGTCTTCTTTTATCTTAAAACCTGCTGCATTATTTTCCTTTCACTCCCTTACAAGTATATTTGTGCTAATATAGAAATAATGCTATTTTCCTTTCAAACTATTGGAATAGCATTAGGAAAAGATATTCTCATAGGAAGCCATGCTATTGTTATCTCATGACTTTTTAAATCTCCTTGGTATTACCAACAGGCACCCCAAGGCATATGCTAATACCTATTAGAGAGGGGTCAGATTAGATGACCATTAAAGGCCTTAAAAAGTCCAGATCAATTCTGAATTTTTAAAGAAAAGAGTGCATATTTCATTTGCTTTTGTAAATAGTAGTGAAAAACAAATTATACAACAGAAGCAAAGTGACTAGGAAGCCAGAAAATAAACAGAGGGCACTGAAAGTTCATTTCTGTTATAGCAGAAAATACGATGCAGCCAGTATTTTTGTTATTTAGTGAAATTTGAGTTGCCTTTGCTTCTATCTTGGTTGACTATAACATATCTTTTCTATCACTTTACCTTTCCCTGGGACCTCTTCCATGTTCTGCCGCTGAATTTAGTATGTTTGACATCTGTGTAGAAATAAAATGCCAGGTTCAGTTGAATGCACATGGATATGAGAAAGAAGTAGGATATAAAGAAAGTACATTTGCTGACCGATGTGACACTGTGTCTGTATTAGGAGTAGCCTAATTCCATTTTAGTATACATAGCCCTGTGGTTTCTGAATATGTCCTGAGGATCTATGGAGAGGATATTTTAGGATTCCTGGGCCTAGCCAGAGTAAGCAAGGGCCAAATGAATTGCCCTGTGTGATGACAAAAAAATGCAGTTTTAAATTTGCAAGAGGCCCAAGAGTCAGAATGAGGTACCCTGAGAAGGCAGTCAAGATTTGAACAAATGAAAGGTGCATCTAATGAGAGAGAGGCCTGAGGAAAGGGTGGGAAGATGAGACTGAAAGAGACTGATAATATGCTATTGTGTAGGGGGCAACAGCCTCTTGCTGAAGGGCCAGCAGTTACAAACAGCATCTGGAAGTGAACAGGAAGGCAGGAGATCTCTGTCTGTCTCTCTGTGTTTCTGTCTCTCTCTGTCTGCCTTTCAAAGAAATAAAAATATAATTAAAAAAAAAGAGCTGCTGCACATTTACAGGAAATCAGAGTAATCACAGCAAATGCTTGTGTTCCTCAAGAAAAGGAAAAGCATGCTATTTCCCAAAAACTCACCTCATAAACACATAAGAATACAGGGTTGCTTTGAAAACATAGTTCCTGTGCACAGCACTAACAGAGTCATCATCCCAAATCATTGGAAAAAAACAACAATCCAGAAAAATAATGCAGAGTTTCCAGCTCCTAAAGTATTCTCTAAATTCTTTGGTATCAGGAACCTACATAGTACAATATCATATTCAAGTTCTGTTTCCACTTTTAGCATTGGTTATTGAACACATTTTGAATTTAGTGTTTGTAGAGGTACCTGCTATGTTCTTGATCCGATAGAAGAGTTTGAGGATGAACACAAATATCTTCTTGAGGATGTAAGTGGATTCTCACTTCTTTACATTTTTCATCCATATTGTTGCTAATTGGTAGAGGGGAAAAATGGAATTTGCCTTAATCATGTAAGCTTTGGTTTTGAAAGAAATCAGCGACTTTCATTTTGAGATTTAAAGGATAATTTGCACCAAGTTCCTAATATCTTTGCAAGATATCTAAAAAAGACAAACATAACCAAATTTCATCTTTCAACACCAGGTAAAAACTTGAATTAGGGAATCATGCTAAAACCATCCTATGGGTTGTTCCAGAAGACTCTAAATTGTTTATAGCCAGATATCTATGCTGTAGAACAACACATTTCACTATTTCTAAAATAATCTTGATTAGTAAATATGACCCGCCACAGAGTTTGACACTTCAGGCTCATACTAGACATGACCGTAATGACCATAAATGACCGTATGGCAGCCTGAGACACAACTAACTTTGTCTCCTGCGGTGCAGAAGCGTGTTTTGTTTTCTGTCCATGCAGTACCAACAGTTGAGCAACAGATGATGTCATAAAGTTACAGTCAGCTTTCTACATCCACATGTTCTGCATCCACACATTCAACCAAGCAGATATTCAAAGTAATCGGGAAAAAAATCCCTTGCATCTGTACTGAACACAAGCTTTTTTTTCCTTGTTATTCCCTAAACAATACAGCCAACAACTATTTACCTAGAATTTACACTGGATTAGGTATAATAAGTAATCCAGAGATGGTTTAAAGTCTACAGGAGGATGTGTGTAAGTGAAATATAAATACTGCACTACTAGGAACTTGTTGAACAGCCACAGACCTACAGGGTGTCCTGAAATCAATCCCCTGTGGATATCAAGGGACAACTGTATATCAGAACTGACAGCAGAAAGAAGTATTTAATAATTTTTAAAGCATTACTAACAGTGATAGAATAGCTAACATGGTCTGACATTCATCTTAAGTGAGGTATTGTGTTAGGTAGGAACTATTATCTCCATTTTGCAGGCAAGAAAAATGAAGTTTAGAGAGAATCAGTGTCTTGCTCCAGTTCTCATAGCCAATAAGTGATTGTGAACACAGATTTACTAACAGCAAAGTCCATGCTCTCACATGGCACGCCACACTGCCCGGTTGTGCCTTATTTAATAAACACCTCATTTTATGTAAATGAAATGATAAACACTATAATAATAGTACCTTTTTTACACATGAGTTGGTATTAGGGATTTAAGAATGGAAGCACAAAGAGATTCACCACTTACTACTACTTCCTCATCACTCAGTAACTCTTTACATTCTCATGGATCTTAGACTGAGGGCAGCACTTGAGACAGAGAATAAGACTGAGCCAGAGGCCAGAGTTTACATGGGTTGCAGAGTCAAACTTGAAAGCCATGGAGGAGGAAGGGTGGCGTTATGTGGTCAGGTTTCATGGGTTTCCAAGAAGGCATAGGTAAGTGGTTAAACCAGTAACATATGAATGGTCTTGGGTGAGGACTGATACATGGGGTGTGGTCCAGTATGGCCTGAGTGAGTATAGGTTGAATGAATGGCTGTTGGTTGGTTATTGGTGGTTAACGTGAATATAGGAAAGTGCAGGAGCCTTTACAGTGGATGGCCTTAGTAGTTTGATCCCTCCAGGCATCATACCACTGAAGGCTTTTTCTGACTATGGAGAAGAGGACTGTTTTGTAAAATGGGAATGGGTTTGAGGCAGCAAGAAGAGTCCAGGATAAATGGGCTCTGATGGAGAAGTCTCATGGTATTCTTCCTTAGTGATCCGTCATAACTTATTCTGGGTAATGTTCATTACAAATAGCAAATGTATGGTGAAATATCAACATGTGCAGGTTACAGCTTTTTTTTTTTTTTTTTTTTTTTTTTTTGCTAATGCAGTGTTAAGCTAGTGAGGTGGAATTATAGGAGTAACTTGCAAATCTGTGTGAATGAACAGGAATGCTTTCATTAAAGCTCAATGTGGAGACATGCTCTTGAAGAAATAAATTTATTTTCTTTTAGGCTAGTAACTCAGAAAGGAGTCAAAAAGGAGAGATTACCTACAATTCCCTAGAAAGATACTGGTTCAAGATACCAGAGTAGCTAAAATAAATCCAGAAAAATATAGGGCAAAAAATATTGAAAGAAAAAAATACCCAAGCTTTGTATTATATATAGTTCTGGACATTATATTTCTGTGATACACGTTCAGATTCAGAAATAAACTAACATCAGCTAGCTTATGGGGCTCAGTATTTTGAATCAGATACTCTAGACTAAAACCCTCAATCCTAAAGTTTTCTGTTAGTATGACTTTAAGCAAGCCACTAAATATATCTGTACCTGAGCCTTCTCTACTTTGAGATATCATTATTAATGGTCTTACATACTTCACAAAGATGATAGTAAATGGGAAAGAATTTTATAGAAAACAAGTTAATAGTTTTTTATTATTACTTGACTACTATATAAGTAGAGATTTAAAAATCACTAAATAATAATTATTTTGTATGGATGTAGGTGGTCTCAACTCATAGTCTGGGGATGGTGCATGTTTAGGCCTGAGTGGAGATTAAGAAAGACAAGAGATAATGTTAATTGTGTGGGTAAGGCCAAATTGGGAGAGAGAGGTACACAAAATAATTAGATATAACAAATCTGGGAAAACTGAGGATTTAGAAGGTGTGTGAAATGATCAATAATGTGATCTAAATTAAGACAGGTTTGCTTTCCAAATTTGGTGTTGGTATAATGGATTAAATGTTGGTAGTCTGTCTCCCAAATTTATATGCTGAAATTCTCACTCTCAGTGTGGTAATATTAGAAAGTCTGGCCCTTGGTTAATTAATTAGCTTATGATTATGGGGTTCTCATGAATAGGATTAGTGTCTCCCTCACCCCATTTCTGCTGTGTGAGAACATGGTAAGAAGACCACATGTGGACACGTGACTTGTTAACTAAGAAGCCAGCTCTTACCAGATACCACATTTGCAGGTGCCTTGATCCCCAGCCTCCAGAATTGTGGGAAATAAATGATTTGCTGTGTAACTCTGTGGTATTGTTGTAGCTACCCACATGGACTATGAAAGTATATTAGAACATGAGCAGCCTTGAAAACAGGGGTAAGCTTAGGACAGGATGTACTATGGAACTTGATAGAGAGTTATACTAGAGAATGTTCCTTTTGTGGTAGTGCTCTTAGTGGTATTTTGCACACTTACTCATTTAGTAAGTATATCTTTGTGCCAGAGACATTTCAGGTTTGTTACATACTTGTGGTGAGACAAAAATTCCTCACTTCATGGAGTTTACATTCTATTGGAAGGACAGAAAATAAACCAAGGAATGTAAGAACTTAATTGAAATAAAAGGGGATATGCCATTAGATATACAGCAGGGTAAGTGAGATTGGGAATATGGGATGGGGGGTGGGGATGCAGTCTTTAGTCATTAAAGTAGGCCTTACTGGGGAATGTTTTTGAGAAGGCATTTCCATGTGTATTCTTTCTGTTTTTGTCTCATTTTAGTTTCTTGGTAAGTCTTCAGACTGCTTTTACAGTTTCTGAACTGCCTTCTCTATCCAAGAAAGATTTCTGCTTGCACCCTTTCAGGTCTACTTTGCTCTGACATCTCCTATAGAGTAGGCCAGTGCGATGTTCCTCTGTCTCTGTCAGTCTCTTTTAGCTCAGCGATAAACCACTCTTCTGGCTAGTCAGCCATGAAACTCTCTGCACCCTTCTGTCCTTCTCATATGACTTGCTTCCTCTTCACTGTGATGACCATTCGGTTCTAGTCATCCTGTGAGGAAAGCTTAACCTCTAGATAAAGAATAATCAATAATCCTCCCAGCTTAGCCACATCCACATGGCTATGGCTCCAGCCACTCAGGGAGGTGTAACTGAATGACTGATCAGCCCACTGCTTCCCATGAGAAGGGACTTCTTCATTCTGATTATTTCAATTTAAAACCTTGTCTCTTTAATTTGTTACTTTTATTTTTTTATTTGACAGGTAGAGTTACAGACAGTGAGACAGAGAGACAGAGAGAAAGGTCTTCCTTCCATTGGTTCACTCCCCAAATGGCCACTACGGCCGTCTCTGCGCTGATCCGAAGCCAGGAGCCAGGTGCTTCCTCCTGGTCTCCCATGTTGGTGCAGGGGCCCAAGCATTTGGGCCATCCTCCACTACCCTCCCGGGCCACAGCAGAGTGCTGGACTGGAAGAAGAGCAAACGGGACTAGAACCCGGCGCCCATATGGGATGCCGGCACCGTGGGTGGAGAATTAACCAAGTGAGCCATGGTGCCAGCCCCGTTATGGGTTATTTCTAACATGAAAATAAATGGCATTAGGGGGGGCAGCGTCATAGCCTAGCAGGTTAATCTGCTGCCAGTGACACCAGCATGCCAGTTCATGTTCTGGCTGCTATACTTCCAATCAAGCTCCTTGCTAAGGTACCTGGGAAAGAACTGGAAGGTGGCCTAAGTGCTTGAGTCTCTGCCACCCATGTGGGAGACCTGTAGGAAGCTCCTGGCTGCTGGCTTTAGCTTGGCCCAGCTCTGGCTGTTATAGCCATTTGGGGACTAAGCCATAAGATGGAAGATCTCCTTTCTCTTTCTCTCTCCTCTCTCTCTCTCTCTCTCTCTAACTCTGCCTTTCAAATAAATAAATAATTTGAAAAAAAAAGAAAATAATGACATTTTGTTGCATTTGTGCACTAATTATCCCAAGAAGCAAAGAGACCAAAAATGAAAATTAGAAAATGTTTTGTAAAAGTAATGGATTAGGGCCAGCGCTGTGGCATAGTGGATAAAGCCGCTGCCTGCAGTGCTGGCATCCCATGTGGGTGCTGGTTTGAGACCTGGCTGTTCCACTTCTGATCCAGCTCTCTGCTATGGCCTGGGAAAGCAGTGGAAGATGGCCCAAGTCCTTGGGTCCCTGTACCTGCATGGGAGACCCGGAAGAAGTTCCTGGATCCTGGCTTTGGATCAGCACAGCTCCAGCCATTGTGTCCATCTGGGGAGTGAGCCAGTGCATGGAAGACCTTTCTCTCTCACTCTGCCTCTCCTCTCTCTCTGTAACTCTGAGTTTCAAATAAATAAATAAATCTTTAAAAAAAGAAAAAAGTAATGGATTACATGCATGTAATAGCTTTTGTTGTAAGTTACTCCCTGACTTTTGAGGCTAAGGAGGGCTACAATCTTTTCTCCTACCATTTCCATGGTGGACACAAGTCAGAGAGAGAATAGTTTGCCAAAAACATTATACTTTTTTTTTTTTTTTGACAGGCAGAGTGGACAGTGAGAGAGAGAGAGACAGAGAGAAAGGTCTTCCTTTTGCCGTTGGTTCACCCTCCAATGGCCGCCGCGGCAGGCGCGCTGTGGCCGGCGTACCGTGCTGATCCGATGGCAGGAGCCAGGAGCCAGGTGCTTTTCCTGGTCTCCCATGGGGTGCAGGGCCCAAGCACTTGGGCCATCCTCCACTGCACTCCCTGGCCACAGCAGAGAGCTGGCCTGGAAGAGGGGCAACCGGGACAGAATCCGGCGCCCCAACCGGGACTAGAACCCGGTGTGCCGGCGCCGCTAGGCGGAGGATTAGCCTAGTGAGCCGCGGCGCAAAAACATTATACTTTTAAGAATGTGGAAAAAACAGGAGGCAAGTTTTAAGAGATGGAAAACATCATATGAGAAAAGATATATGTTCTGCTGCTGTTTGTATTAGACAAGACAACCATTTGTACAATAATTTTCAGAAATGATTAGTCTTGTTTTTGCCTAAGCATGATTAAATATGAGAAAACAATCTGAAATTAAATAGGTATAAACAAATAGATAGTTAGACTTGGGAATTTGAGCCTCCAGTTAACTAACAAAAAATAAGCCATAGGGAAGAGAAATAAAATGCTGCATAATGAACTCTGATCAATGATAGAACAAATAACCAACAGTGTTGCACAGACTGTGTCCCTTGGTGACCTCATAGCCATCTCAGTTTGTGCAAGTGCACTCCATGATGTTTGCACAATGGTCTTTTAATGACACCTTCCTCAGAACCTATTCCCACTGTTAAGCTATGCTTGACTGTTGCTAAAGAGAGGAGGTAGGAGATCACATTAAATATTTCCATGAGGAAGAGATATTATATTCCCTGGGTGGTTTTAACTAGAGATTGGTTTAAACATAGTGAATTAGAAGCCCCAACTACTTTAATTCAGCCATAATTAAAATTTTAAAAAATTAACTCACAAATCATAGTGATTCTGAGTGAGATATGTTAGGGGGAAGCATGTATTGATGAACATGGGAAAGAGTATTGTCATGTCAACCCACAAAATATAGAGAACCGTAGTTAGGAACAATAAAGATTTAACTTAAATGTAAATCTCTATTAATTCCTTATTTTATCATGCACTTTAGTTCTGGACCAGGTGGTTTCATGGTGAACATTTTCTTTTTAAAAAGTTTATTGACTCGGGGGCCAGCACTGTGGCATAGCGGGTAGGGCCACCGCCTGCAATGCCAGCATCCTATAAGGGCGCTGGTTCTAGTCCTGGCTGCTCCTCTTCCAATCCAGCTCTTAGCTGTGGCCTGGGAAAGCAATAGAAGATGGCCCAAATCCTTGGGCCCCTGCACCCACGTGGGAGACCCGGAGGAGGCTCCTGGCTCCTGGCTCCTGGCTTCGGATTGGCTCAGCTCCGGCTGTTGCGGCCATCTAGGGAGTGAGCCAGCAAATGGAAGACCTCTCTCTCTCTCTCCCTCTGATTCTGCTTCTCTCTCAGAGTAACTCTGACCTTCAAGTAAATAAATAAATCTTTTTTAAAAAAAGTTTATTGACAGGGCCAGGTACTGTGGCTTAGCCGGTAAAGCTCCATCTGCAGCCCCAGCATCCCTTATGGGTGCCACTTGAGACCCGGCTTCTCCACTTCTGATCCAGCTGTCTACTGGGGTTCCTGGGAGGGCAGCGGAGGATGGCCTGGGTTCTTGGGCCCCTGCACCCACGTGGGAGACCCGGAGGAAGCTCCTGGCTCTTGGCTTTAGATTCGCCCAGCTCCAGCTGTTGGAGCCATTTAGGGAGTGAACCAGTGGATGGAAGATTCATTCTCTCTCTCTCTCTTTCTCTCCCTCCCTCCCTCCTTCCCTCCCTCAATCCCTCCATCCCTCTCTGAGACTCTGCCTTTCAGGTAAATGAATAATTCTTAGAAAAAGTTTATTGACAACCCTGTGAAATAGCACAACTTCAGCATCTTTAAAAGTTGTTATAAGAAACCACATTCGTTTGCATTAGGCAAACTAATGTAATCTGTTCTAGTGAAAATAGCATTTGTTTGGGATGTTTGCTATAGGAAACTGTTCACTAAAAGCCATAAACTCTTTTTCTCAAGGGTATAGATTATGCTTGTAACCTTTATATCATTGATGTCATTGACTCTGACCTCACTTTTTTTTTTTAAGATTTATTTATTTATTTGAAAGAGTTACACAGAGAGAGGAGAGGCAGAGAGAGAGAGAGAGAGGTCTTCCATCTGCTGGTTCACTCCCCAATTGGCTGCAACAGTTGGAGCTGTGCCAATATGAAACCAGGAGCCAGGAGTTTCCACCAGATCTTCCACATGGGTGCAGGGGCCCAAGGACTTGGGCCATCTTCCACTGCTTTCCCAGGTCAAAGCAGAGAGCTGGATTGGAAGTGGAGCAGCCAGGTTTTGAACCAGCACCCATATGGGATGCGGGCACTACAGGTGGTGGCTTTACCCACTACACCACAGTGTCGGCCCCTCACTGATTTGGTTATAATTTAATCATCCACGGGGCCAGCACTATGGCGTAGCGGGTAAAGCCACCACCTGCAGCACCAGCATCCCATATGGACACTGGTTCGAGTCCTGGATGTTCTACTTCTGATCCAGCTCTCTGCTATGGCCTGGGAAAGCAGTAGAAGATGGCCCAAGTCCTTGGGCCCTGTACCCATGTGGAAGACCCGGAAGAAGCTCCTGGATCCTGGCTTCAGATGGGCCTAGCTCTAGCCATTGCAGCCACCTGGGGAGTGAACCAGTGGATGGAAGACCTCTCTCTCTCTCTCTCTGCCTCTCCTTCTGTCTCTGTGCAACTCTGACTTTCAAATAAATAAATAAGATCTTTAAAAAAATCATCTGTTACAAAAACTGGGCATGTTCTCCTCCATGTCAAAAGATGTTTGTTAGATCTTAATTTTTGCAAGGTTTCTGCAAGTTTAAAAAGTAAATAGAGGCCAGCACTGTGGCTCAATAGGCTAATCCTCCGCCTGCGGCGCTGGCACCCCGGGTTCTAGTCCCGGTCGGGGCACCGGATTCTGTCCCGGTTGCCCCTCTTCCAGGCCAGCTCTCTGCTGTGGCCAGGGAGTGCAGTGGAGGATGGCCCAAGTGCTTGGGCCCTGCACCCCATGGGAGACCAGGAGAAGCACCTGGCTCCTGGCTTCGGATCAGTGTGGTGTGCCGGCTGCAGCGCGCCAGCCGCAGCGGCCATTGGAGGGTGAACCAACGGAAAAAGGAAGACCTTTCTTTCTGTCTCTCTCTCTCACTGTCCACTCTGCCTGTCAAAAAAAAAAAAAAAAAAGTAAATGGTGTTTGCAAAATATCTATTTATTAAAAATTTTAAATGTTTATTTTCATCTATTCAAAAGGCAGTACGAGAGAGAGCAAGTGACTGAGAGCCTAATATCTTCCATCCACTGAATCACTCCTGAAATGCCTGCAACAGCCCGGGCTGTGGGAGACCAACACCTGAAACCCATAACTCCATCTGGGTCTCCCATGTGGGTTGCAGGGACCCAAGCACATGGTCATCATTTGCTGCCTCCAAGGATTCATTAGTAGGAAGTTGGATTGGAAACAGAGCAGCTGTGACTCAGACAGATATTCTGATATGGTATGCAAGCAGCCCAAGTGGCAACTCAACCTACTGTGTGACAATACTCAAGATTTCTTTATAAAAATGCCCAGTGAAGGGGCTGGTTTGAGTCCTAGCTGCTCTGCTTCCAGAGAGCTGCTGCTAATGTGCTTGGGAAAGCAGCAGCAGATGACCCAACTACCTGGACCCCTGCCACAAACATGGGAGACTTGGAGGGGATTGTGGGCTCCTGGCTCTGGCTTGGCCCAGCTCTAGCTATTGTGGCCATTTGGGAAGTGAACCAGTGGATGGAAGATCTCTTCCTGTCTCTTCTTTTCTATGTATCACTACTCTACCTTTCAAATAAACAAAGCTTTTTTAAAGAAATACCCAATGCAAAGTCTCAATTCTTCCACACTAGCAGACTAAAATATGGGTGTCAGTAGGATACACTGTCTAACAACTATTACCATCATGGAAGCTGCGTTCAAAGTTAGGGTCTGTAATATATCAGCAAAAACAGTATTCCCACCTCATCAATACATTTACCTTTTCCCCAAACTCATCGATTTCCTCCCTCTATAAAACTCAATTTCTTTCTAAAATGCTACATCTTAAGTGTTCTGCATATCATATATATTTCCTTTAGTGTAAATACTTCTCTGTGTAAAATGTGTCAAGGGCCTTCTGTATAAAAATTGCCACATCCATTATCTAGTTGTGGTTGGGTTATTTTTGTTTTGTTTTTGAGGTTCTCTTTTCCTTGCTTTTGGCTTCCAACAAGAGGTAAGTATATTCTACAGCTCTTAGGGCAATGTGGCTATACTTACCCTTTTTTGTGCTTTAGAATCATCCAACAGGAAACAATGATGGTTAAAAGAAAGAAGACCATACCAAAGGAGATGCCTAGGCAGTAAGACAAGGTAATTAAATCCCCAGGAAACATAACACAGAGGTCTTCAAACTCTATCTTAATATCTACTCCCACTATAGGCTGCCAATGATTTTTTTAGAAGTGACTCTAAATTGTGCTTTATGCCAGGTTTAACCTAAAGCATTAATTTTACTACTACAGTGTTATAGTTGAAGGATGAGCAGGGCAGTTTTGTCACCTTTAGTCCCACAGCAGCCTTTCAACAAGTTGGCCAAGGAGAACCAGCAATGGGGCCACTGGGCTCCAGCTCTCCACCACACTGCCCAATGCTCCGTGTAAGATGTAAGACATGGGCTAGTCTATGCCGCAGAAATTCTCTTGGAAGCAAACTCTATTACAAGAGCTTCTTATATAGGCAGATCATAGAAATGGACTCAGCAAACTGGTATTGTGGCTTTCAGTTTGTACAAATGGGCACGTCCACCACCCAGAAGCATATTCCCAGGCCATATGCCAAAGATGAAGCTATACTCTCCAGCCACATTAAGATAAAGAATTTTTGACAGCAAAGGACAATTATTCATTCACAGTGGTTCAAAGACAGTGAAGGATGCAGTCAGTGCTCATGAGGAGGCCAGTGTTCCTACATCCTGGCCCGAACTCACCATCATTTTCAATTTCAATTTCATTTTCAATTTCAACCATTTACAAGATATTTTGATCTTCCTTTTTACATTTCATTCATTGTAAGTGGACACTTACTGTTCAGGATGCAGGAATTCCTCAGCAAGCCCTTCAAACAACTTACCAAGTATGAGAGCATCACGCTGGCCTAAAAGGAAGACAGAAGCATCATCTGGCACCCAGCACACTGAACAGGAACTCACCAGGACAGTCCATCCTGGGTTCCCCTCACTACACAGTCCAATATTTTTTTCTAACATAAAGAACCATTGGGGCCGGCGCCGTGGCTCACTAGGCTAATCCTCCGCCTAGTGGCGCCGGCACACCGGGTTCTAGTCCCGGTTGGGGCGCCGGATTCTGTCCCGGTTGCCCCTCTTCCAGGCCAGCTCTCTGCTGTGGCCAGGGAGTGCAGTGGAGGATAGCCCAGGTGCTTGGGCTCTGCACCCCATGGGGGACCAGGAAAAGCACCTGGCTCCTGGCTCCTGCCATCGATCAGCGCGGTGCGCCGGCCGCAGCGCACCGGCCGCGGCGGCCATTGGAGGGTGAACCAACGGCAAAAGGAAGACCTCTCTCTCTGTCTCTCTCTCTCACTGTCCACTCTGCCTGTCAAAAAAAAACAAACAAACAAAAAAAAAAACAAAAAAACACCATTGGTTTCACTGGTACAAGTTCATTTTATCTTGTGCACTCAATGAAAACTTTTTTCTTTTTAAATTAGTACTTTTATCATAAAAGTGGTGTAACTATAGAAATTTATAAAAAAAGAACAAGACTATCACCTATTATGCTCATCCCCCAAAATGTTTTGGTATCTTTTCTTCTGCTTCTTTGCATCTGAATTTCTATATATTTATATAATAGGAATGCAAATTACAACAGAGAAAAACTAATATAATCTATTCTAGTGAATGTGGCATTGTATATTTAGTAATTTTATGATATATTTGTTTCTAGTTTCCTTTGGCATGAAAGTCTTAATAAATCATATAAAATATTTTAATTTAAATAATTTGATTGGCTTTCTAGAAGAACTCACTGGCAAAGATATTTGTATTATCCTCTATCTGCAGTGTGCAATTATTTTTCATAAGAGTTTTTGCAAATTTTCAGTGGTACTATCAACATTTGAAGACACCAGTTTCATCATATTCTTGCTTTATGCTGGGTATTCACCCAGAAACCTTTTTGTTGTTTGTTTGTTTGTTTATTTACTTATTTATTTATTTATTTTATTTGACAGGTAGAGTTATAGACAGTGAGAGAGAGAGAGAGAGAAAGGTCTTCCTTCTGTTGGTTCACTCCCCAAATGGCCGCTGTGGCCAGCACTGTGCTGATCCGAAGCCAGGAGCCAGGTGCTTCTTCCTGGTCTCCCATGTGGGTGCAGGGGCCCAAGCACTTGGGCCATCCTCCAGTACCTTCCCAGGCCACAGCAGAGAGCTGGACTGGAAGAGGAGCAACCGGGACTAGAACCTGGTACCCATATGGGATGCCAGTGCCGCAGGCAGAGGATTAACCAAGTGAGCCACGGCACCTACCTATTGTTAGTTTAACGGGCACACACACAAAAATAAGATACCTTGTTCTTTTCTTTTGTATTTCTTTGGTTCTAGTGAGGTTAGTTTCCATATATTTATTTCACAGGGAAAAAGATATTTATACCTCTCTCCAACTTGTGCATTCTAAGACAGTTTCTGCTTATCCCTGCTCTCTTCCAGGGCTGTGTGGTGTTGAACCAAGCAGAACTGGAAAAACTCCACTTCCTTAGAAATGGCGTGAGGTGGTGAAAGAGGATCCTGAACACAAGGGGGCAAGAGAAGTAGCCACCATGAGCTGGTGGCTTTGAGAGACAGTCCAGGCAGGAGAGAGAGGAGCTGGGTTCATGAATGGGGCACAAGGGAACAGAAATGGGTAAAGTGGGTAGTTGTACCTCACGTCTCCCTGAGCAGTTCCAGTGAAGACTTCTCTTAGTTTTTACATCTTTTCTGGAGTTGAACTTAATTGTCTGGGGGGGGGGGGTCACACAGTTAAAATATGGGTTATGTGTTTAAGTCTGGCCTTAGGGGAAGCTGAAGACCAGTCAGACCATTGCAATGGGGATGACTACCTGCGAATTCCAGGAAATTCTTCATTCTCTGATGCCAGTAGGCAGAGATTCCTTGTCCTATTTTGAATTGCTATTCTCAGAAATTCCCTGTGGCATGTTACTCGCAGCCTGAAGCACCTCCACAGTTTCCTTCCTCCATTTCCTTTTGAGGAAGGCCTAGGACAATTATCTTGTACGATATGTCCTAAGCCTTAGGAAAGATACTGTCTCCCCACCTCTATTTTCCATGGTCTCATCTTTCTTTGCCTGCTCTACTTACAAAGCAGAAAAATTTCAAAGACGAGATGGGGTAAAGAGACTAGAACAAGGCTGCTAAGGGGCCTGCTTTTAGTCTGAGTCTTTATGAAGCCCAGAGGGACTAAAGAAGAGTCCATATAGGATCCAGCCCATCTCATGAGGAGTCTATACAAGTTCCAAGAGCCTATTGGTTAATAGTTAGCCCTTTCTTGCTCTTTATAGACATTTCCTTAGTTTACCTGAAGAAATGTTTTTCGTCTGGCATTTGGGACCTTGGCCTCAATAGCTTTTCATTTCACTTTGACTACTACTGAGATAGTCTCTCTTAGCTGATTATATATTTAGGAGCTTTGTCGATTTCTTTATTGTTCCAGTACACAGTCTCAGTGGATACATGGATTGCCTGGTTGAACCCAGGCCACCCTAATTTTGTAGACATGGGCATGTTACTTAAGTCTTCTGTGTCTCAGTTTCTATATCTGAAGAAGGTAAAAAGACTGCCTTCTTCGTAGGGTTTTTCTTTTCTTTTTTTTTTTTTTTTTTTTTTTTTTTTTTTGACAGGCAGAGCAGACAGTGAGAGAGAGAGAGAGAGACAGAGAGAAAGGTCTTCCTTTACCGTTGGTTCACTCTCCAATGGCCGCTGCGGCCGGCACACCGCACTGATCCGAAGCCAGGAGCCAGGTGCTTCCTCCTGGTCTCCCATGCCAGTGCAGGGCCCAAGCACTTGGGCCATCCTCCACTGCACTCCTGGGCCACAGCAGAGAGCTGGCCTGGAAGAGGGGCAACTGGGACAGAATCCGGCGCCCCGACCAGGACTAGGCAGAGGTTTAACCTAATGAGCCGCGGCGCCAGCCATCAAAGGTTGTTATGTACATTAAATTAGCATTTATCTAATACTTAGCAGTAGTTCTAAGTCTTTAATATTTGTTAACTTTTACAACTTGGTCATAACAACTACTACTGTCATAACAACTACTACTTTTATGATAACACTATTAAACACTATTTGTTATATTCTCCATGTATTTCTACTTTATTGACTTCTTATTTTTCGAAGAACATAAATTCAAGGACAAATTAGTTGGTAGGACAAAAAAGACAATTTTTCCTATTATAACTCAGTTCAAAAAGTTGGTCTCCTTTTAGCTATTTGACCAATATTCTTTTATTTATTTATTTACTTATTTATTTTTGTTTAGCTTTTCTATGGTTTGATTTTTTTTAAAATATTTATTTATTTATTTGAAAGTCAGAGTTACACAGAGATAAAGGAGAGGTAGAGAGAGAGAGAGAGGTCTTCAACCTGCTGGTTCACTCGCCAATTAGCTGCAATAGCTGGAGGGGAGCCAGGAGCCAGGAGCTAGGCCCCACATGGGTGCAGGGGTCCAAGGACTTGGGCCATCCTCTATTGCTTTCCCAGGCCATAGCAGAGAGCTGGATTGGAAGTGGAGCAGTGGGGACTCATACTGGCATCCATATGGGATGCCAATGCTGCAGGCAGTGGCTTTACCCACTATGCTGCAGTGCTGGCCCCCTATGGTTTGACTTTCAGAAGTTTTAACTCTTTATCTTATCTCTATTTATTGTAACATAAAAAGAAAGGCTCTATTTTTTTTTGAAATCTTACTTTTCTTTCCTATGGATTTATGGTATCCCCTTATTATGAGACAATTTTATTTTTATTTCTAACAACCTTTTTTTAATTAATATCAATTATGGGCCGGCGCCGTGGCTCACTTGGCTAATCCTCCGCCTGTGGCGCTGGCACCCCAGGTTCTAGTCCCGGTTGGGGCGCCGGGTACTAGTCCCAGTTGCTCCTCTTCCAGTCCAGCTCTCTGCTGTGGCCCAGGAGGGTAGCGGAGGATGGCCCAAGTGTTTGGGTCCCTGCACCCACATGGGAGACCAGGCAGAAGTACCCAGCTCCTGGCTTCAGATCAGTGCAGAGCTGGCCGTGGCAGCCATTAGGAGAGTGAACCAATGGAAGGAAGACCTTTCTCTCTGTCTCTCTCTCTCTCACTGTCTAACTCTGCCTGGCAAAAAATTAAAAAATATATCAATTACGTCTATTCTTGCACTGTGGTATGAAGTAATTTATGTAGGATAGCTTTATATTTTATTTTGATATTTGGTAGGGTTAATTTCCCAATTTTTAAAAATTTTCTATCAGTTCCAGTTAGATTTTCAGAATATTCCAAAGGCAGAAAGTCAGTTAGTGACCAAGATTTTCTCAAATAAATGAATATAGTTTAATTTTAAGAAAGTGCCAAATTTATAATTTAGAATTATTTTTAAGATCAGCTTAGTTAACAGATTTGAGAACCACATATTACAAATGGAAGTCATAAGAGTTGGGAGAGGGAAAAGCCTCTCACTAGCTTGGATTAAGAATGGACGTTTGATAAAACGGTAAAGATGCTGTTTGGGACACCCGCATCCCATATAAGAGTACCTGGGTTCGAGTCCCAGCTCTGTTCCTGATTTCAGCTTTCTGTTAATGCACACCCTGGAAGGCAGCAGGTGTTGGCTCAAGTAGTTGGGTTCTTGCCATCCACATGGGAGACCCAGACTGAGATCTGGGCCCTTGGCTTTGACCTGGCCCAACCCCAACTGTTGTAGGCATTTGGAGACTGAACCAGTTTATGGGAGATCTCTCTGTCTGCCTTTCTTACTGCCTTTCAAATACAACAGAGAGAAATAAGGAAAACCAAATATTTTTAAAAGAAAGGTTATGCCTTGTTAATTTGGCTCATCTGCAGCTCAGTGTGAACAAGTTTTAGGATTTCCTAGTTTGCAGTACCTCCCAGTTGCCAGTAGAGGGATACTCTCCTATGGAGCTCAGTGGATTTCCAAACATGCTACACCAGCTGTACTAGCCTAAAACCCTAGAGTCTACAATAGTGAGGGAGACAGGCCAACGCTCTCTGAATCTTGGAAGATGCTCCCTGACCCATGCTGAAAACATTTCTTCCTATTCTACCACCAATGTGCTTCTGGATTTTAAGGTTCACAGGCTGTATTACTGTGCGAGGCTTGCAACCACAGACTGATACAGATGGAAAAGTTAGAGGGGCTCTGAGGCGAGGTGGACTGGTGAGAAGTATGGGAGCAATTGGCTCTTTGGGAAGAGGTAAGGGCTCCTATTGTACTCTGTAGCTCCAAGCATATGCTATAAACATCACACTACACTAGATGTCAGTAGGGATGAATGAACGAACAGTAAGCATGACTGGGAAGGGCCTGTATTCCCTGCACTTGCACTTACGAGATGTACATATGGCCAGAGGAGGGTCCCATCTGTCATCCACCTGGCACTGACTCCGGGGACTGCCTTCCAGAATATATCCATCTTCACACTCCAAAGTTACATTCTCTCCATAGTGATAGATTTTTCTCATTTTCAACTCCTTTTGGATACCATCCATAAGCTGTGGGAGGCCACATTTTACCTCTGAAATTAGAAAAAATCAGAAAGAAATTGATGTTTTATCATTAGATGAAACTCACATAATAGAATGACCTGTGACCCCAGACCTGCTTTGTTCCTGGCTAAGATGGGGCACGTTTTCCATCAATAACTGTTGACCTTCCTCCCCGACCACCTAGTGAAATAAAATTATTTGTCTTTTATTTCTTAGGTAAAGTAAAGTGGTATGGAGTATACTATGTATCCACTTTTGATTATTAACAACTCTATGACTAGAAAGTTGTAGAAAGATTAGTAGAAGTTAAGATAACCATGTGCTAGCCTTGGGCCCAGGTCTAAGCAGGAAAAGAAATATCATATTCATTCACTTCACATACACAGCAGAAACTGGCATTTTTTGCTTTTGATTAAATTCATGTTTCTGGCCCATTTCTATACATAGAAGAAAGAGGTTAGTAAATCAAAATTCTGAATTTAAAGTACCACTTTCCACTCAATTTTCTTTATCTCACTTAACTCATCCTTGGCTTCCTCTGCCCAGCCATCTAATACCTCCTTCAACTTCAAGTGAAACTTGCTCTTCAGTTGAAATAGTATCAAAATTAGTCTAAAATATTTTTCCCCTTGTAAGGTCCAAAAAGATAAAATGGTATTTCTTGAAGTATGATCTGTGGTCTTCTTGAGAATATTCTGATTGGTAGGTTGGTTAAAATAGACTGCTGACCCTATCTCAAAACCGAGTTAGATTCTATAAGAATCTATTTCTTTAGGGGTTGGTGTTGTGGTGCAGTGGGTTAAGTTATGCAGTGGGTTAAGTAACCATCTGGGACGCCAGCATCCCACATGAGTGTAGGTTCAAATCCCAGCTTCTCCACTTCCGATCCAGCTCCCTGCTAATGTGCCTGGAAAAGCTGTGAAAGATGGTCCAAGTCCTTGGGTTCCTGCTACCCACATAGGAGACACAGATGGAGTTCTTGACTCCTGGCTTCAGCCTGGCCCAGCCTTGGCCATTATGGCCATTTAGACAGTGAACCAATGGATTGAAAATCTCTCTGTCTCTCTGTGTAACTCTGCCTTTCATAAATAAATAAATCTTTAATTTTCTCAGCTAATGCTGAAGATGGAGAAGCTCTCTAAAGCAAGCCTGAACAGGACAGTTACTAAGACAAAATTAATTTGACACAAGTAAAAACAAAGCAGTTTCCAAATTAATAAAATGCTATTCTTTGATTTCCAGGAAAAGACCCTTACCAGAGTGTTGGCTTGTATCTTTGAAATGTTTCCTGACTCGTCACACTTATGTATACAAATAAAGCAGGTTGGGGGAACTTCCAAGTGTCTCTGAAACCATGTGTCTTATGCAGTTTCTTCCTGTACGTAGCATGTAATAGTCTCTCACCATCTTGGTGGTGGGCCCAATTTTCTTTTTTTCTAAAGTGAGAGGGCTACGAGCACAAGGATTCCTGAGACTTTGAGGACAGGAAGGTCCCTATATTCCTGCAACCAGGGTAGGCGTAGGACTGGTTTTTCCTTAATGTTTGAAGCACAGGCATGTTTGAAGTCCCTCCTCCCTCATCTCTACCCTTCACCTAGTATTTTTTAGAAAGAAAGAATAGATAAGTCAAGAAACAAAATACAAAATCACCTAACTTACAGTTTTATAAAGTCAAAACAACTCTACTTCAAAGGAGACAGTGGGGCAGGCATTTGGCCTAGCAGTTCAGATATCCATGTCTTATGTTGGAATCCTTGGGTTTGATTCCTGACTCCAGATGCCTGCCAGTATCGACACTGGGAGGCAGCAGTGATGGCTCAAATAGTTGGCTTCCTGCCCCCCATTTGGGAGACCTAGATTGAGTTCCCCACTTCTGGCTTTGGCCCTGGCCCCAACTCAGCCCTGGCTGTTGTAGGCATTTCAGGAATAGAATAGCAGATGGGAGATCACTCACTCTCTTTCTCTATCTCTCTCTATTTCACTCACTCACTGTTTCTCTTTGTCTATCTCTAAAAATATACAAAAATAAAGTAAAATAAAAGAAGACAGTACACAGCACATTGTTTAAAAGCAGGGGCAGAGCTGGGAACCAATCCTGTGCCTCTACTCACAAGCTGTTTAACAGGGACTAGTTGCTGGATCTCTCTGACCTTAATTTTCTTCTCTGAAGGATTACAAGAATAATAATCCAACTTCATCAAATTCTTTGAGTGTAACACAAATGAATTTTTCAAAGACCTTAGAATCCTGATAATCATAGACTATTATTTTTAGCTTTTTAGAACATTGTCAAGGAAGATTTTAAATTGAGGTGTCATTTTTGCAAACATAGACAGGAATAAAGGAAATATTTCTTGGTAACTTTTTGCACAGAACATATGAAATATTTGCTTTTTGGTCTTGAGGACTATAACGAGGCTCCTTTCTTGGTAATTCTAGGAATCAATTGCTCTTGACCTCTTTGCTGCTGTATAGTGGATAAGACTTCACAATAAGGTATACTTCTAGTTCCTTAATTACCTTCTAAGAATACTTGTTAGGACTGCTCATAACCCAGTGAGGTCCTTAGAACTATCAGTTAAAAGCCAGTAAAGCATTTGAACTTGGTGTTTGTTGTTTGTTGGATTACTGGAAATTCCTTCGTATATTCCTACTTATTTGGTAGAGTTGGTGATACTCGGGCAGCCTTCCTTTCTATGTTTTGTTCTGCTTTTCTTTTCCTTAATATTCATTTCACTCTCCTCTCAACCTTATTAAATTACCACCACTTAAATGTTCTCTCAGCCTCATGCATCAATTTTTCATACCAACCCAACATGAAAAAGAAGCAAGATACCTTTGCAGTAATGATCCAGTTGGCTCCAGGTTCCTTGGTCTGAACAGAAAATGAAGGCCTTTCCCACCAACAGGTAGCCAGGGTCACAGGTATAGTTGACAATCATTCCAGGGAGAAAAGGAGCGTCACGTCCTCCAGTGTGGTGCCCTCCCTGGATCTTGGGTGGAGGTGGGCATGCTAGGATCAAGTTCCCACACAAACACAAGAAAAGACATTCAGTAAAACAGAAGTATGAATAAACATGCCAACACATCCAATCATATTCATATCTGGCTGTCAGGAGTACATGATAACCTGAGGCAGGCAGGTCACAAGCCACCCACTGTTAGCTGATCAGTCAGTGGAAGACTGATTCTTTAAACCGAGACCTCTCCGCATTTAAACGCAGTCCTTTGTAATCTCTGCCTGTAAACTCTTTCAGACCGGGACACTGCACTGATCTACAAGCTACCAGCTCAGTGCTGTTCTGTCTTTCCTGGAGGATGGAGCTCGTGTGGGCAAGCACAGCCACAAATGAGCCTGCGATATCAGGTGCTGTCATTTGAGGACATGCTGATTTATTAAAAGAATGGGCTACAGATGCCCAGAGCATAACATTAACCTCCATTTCTCTGGGACATTCAGTATTGTTACTGAAGAGGTGAAGGGCCAACCAAAAATAGTCAGTGGCTTGACCAAAAAAAAAAAAAAAAAAAAAAAAAAAAAGACAACAACAACAAAAAAATTGGAAGTAACAAAACTAGTATAAATACCTACATCTGAGTTTCTTGAATTATCAATTCTGAAGTAAAGTATGCCATCAATATGTACTTTTTCTCAGCATACCCAATCTAATAAGAGTATCTTCTTTGGCACTTGTTTTCAGTGTTTGAAAATATTTTCTGTACAGTCCGGACCTCTCTAGTTTTCTCCATCCACCACCTCCTTACCATCCCATACTCCTCACCCCACAGGAAAAGCCATTAGAATACTTGGTTGTTTACCAACTGGCACCCAGCACAGCACACCAAGACCTCTCTGTCATTCACCTGGGAGATAATTCTGTCTGTGATGTAACAAAGCTATGTTCATCAGCAAAGATGATTATCACTGTAGAAGTCTGGACATTCTTTCCTGGACATTTAGGATATGTGGAAGTGATACTGACCAACAGGAACAGGAAGTTCACAGCTAGGGGCAGGGTCACTCCAGATCCCGTTCCCTTGACTGTCACTCATGCAGCGGATGGTGCTCTTCCCAATGAGGCTGAAGGTCATCCCTCCTTCAGGATGGGGGTCACATGTGTAAGATACTTCTTTTCCATAAGGAATATCTCCCAGAGGAGGTCCTGTGTGTCTTCCATTAAGAATAAATGGAGGATTTGGACAAAGGATTTCTAGAAAGAAGACAAAAGCATGTCAATCAAGATGACTACAATAATGGTATTCTGTGACAGTGTTTCTTTTAGAAAGAACATAATGAATATGAATGTAATTTAAATCTGTCAGGTTTTTGCTAAGCAGGAACAGAGGTGAGACCTAAATTAGTTTATTTACAGTATCCTTGGATCATTCAGATAGCTAAGTTTTTAATGAATTGGAAAGTAACTTGTCTTTTTAACTATCATTTTTTTTGCCCGCTTTACATCACAAATAGTAAGAGTCCTAGGTAAATAATGGGATACAAGACAAACAAGATTTTTGGCTCTCAGAGATTATAAATTCCAGGGAAATCTCTATGAAATTTGTTAAACATGTACTGTCATCTTCAGAAGATAAAAATGTTCCTTGGTGACTTTAAACAATTATCACCAGTAATAATATTAACATTCAATAATGTCATCAGAATACAGATACCTATTAGACTCCTTATACCCAGATTAAATAGATTCAGAGAGCTTTTTGTTTCTTTTTTCTTTCTTTCAAAAAGAGGAAAGCTGTGCTGTCATTTCTTTTTTTTTTAAAGATTTATTTATTTATTTATTTGAAAGTCAAAGTTACCCAGAGAGAAGAGAGGCAGAGAGAGAGAGGTCTTCCATCTGATGGTTCACTCCCCAGATGGCCGCAACAGCTGGAGCTGCGCCGATCTGAAGCCAGGAGCCAGGAGCTTCTTGCAGGTCTCCCATGCGGGTGAGGGGTCCAAGGACTTGGGCCATCCTCTACTGCTTTCCCAGGCCATAGCAGAGAGCTGGACTGGAAGTGGACCAGCCAGGACTTGAACCAGCACCCATATGGGATGCCGGAGCTTCAGGCCAGGGCGTTAACCTGCTGCGCCACAGTGCCAGCCCCCTGTGCTGTCATTTCTTACTGCTTTTAGTATATCTGGAGCAGTTCTTTTCCTTAAACTAATTAAGTGCTTCTAATCTGATGTGGATGTAGGACTAGATACCCAAGTTTATCAGAATTGTGTATATAAACAAAACAAGGGCCTTATTACATCAAATAATGATTGATTTTTCCTATCTGAATTATGTCTATCTATGTTGTCCAAAGTTTACTTATACATTTAATTTCAGCTTTATGTGTTTCTGGAAAGTTGAGTTTGTTTGATACCTGAATTTCCTTTGTATTGAATATTCACATAAAATTATACCATAATACTCAACATCCAAACAGATTCTATCAAGGTATTTTAACAAAAACCAAGTTAAAATGACCACCTTTCAATCATTCAGAAGATGGAATTTTTTGAAATGTCAGGTTGGAACTGTGTTTGGCCTACTGGTTAAGCTGTTAGTTGGGATACTTGCCTCCCATATTGGAGTGCCTGAGTTCAAGACCCTACTTTATTCCTGACTCCAGTTTCCTGCTAATGCAGACTCTGGAAGGCAGCAAATGATAGCTCAAGTCATTGGCTCCCTGTCACCCATATGGAAGACCTGACTTCAGTTCACAACTTCTGGCTTCACCCTGGCTCAGCCCCAGCCATTATGGGCATTTGGGAAGGGAACCAGAGGATGGGAGCACACTCTCACACTCTCTTTCCCTTAAATAAATAAATAAATAAATAAGTCCAGTTTAAAAAAAAATAAAAAAGGTATATCTTGCTTTAGTAAACAGAATAGGAAAATCAAATGTCTTGGCATATAAAATGTGTTCTTTATCAAATTCCGAATTCTTGGCATGCTTTATTTCAGCAGTGGTTTGAAAATGTAGGGTCCTTATCATTTCAGATGCTGACTCACCACCCCAACTTCCTGCACACGATAATTTGTCAGAGAATTGTTTTATCTATGACACATCATTCTTTAGCATACTATTTAATATGGCCTACTTTCTCAAAATTTGTTTATTTGTTTTCTTCTCTTTTGTCTGCTTCCCAACTGGAAAATAAACTTCATGAGACCAGGGCCAAGCCTCTCCTGTTTCTGACTCTTTCCACCCCTGGAAAGCCCTGGCACATGGGAAGCTGTTCATCAGTAAATATCAGAGGCTAAGCAGCAGATAGAACAAATAATGTAGACAGCTGACGGGGTCAAAGGACATAAAAATTTAAGAGATTGCTCTGTGGTGACAAAACTAAAAAAAAAAAAAAATGAATAAAGAAAATTTGGTATACCTTTATGTCATCTTCTTCCCCCCACCCAGAAAATTCAACACTGTCATTAAACTAGTGCTTTACAGATTAGAAACATAAAACCATGATCTAGAAGATCTATAAGACCTTCCTTGAAATTCTTTGAGCAAGGAAAAAATTTTTTATTAGCAATTCAGTTAAAGATCCAGATAATAGTCAATCCCATGAAGCATAACACACTGGAAAAAAAAAACACAAAAAAACAAAAATGAGAGCCAGGTTTCACAGGCATTCTTGCTACTCACGTTCACATATGGGAACACTGCTGTTCCAAAGGCTTTCCATTCCAGCCAAGACACAATGACTGGCAGAGCTGCCCCTTAATCGGAACCTAAAGGAAGAGGAGCATTGGCAAATGGGTGAGTAGCTCTCACTTCCCCCTTTAGCTCTTGAATGTTAGATGCTCAGCTTCCTCACATCTGCCTAGCTACCTTTGCTTCTCAGGTTTAGGCCCAGCTGAAAGTGCCAGTTCAGTAGCTGGTAGAAACTCAACGGCCAAGTTATTCTGAAGAAGCACAGCATTCTATGAATGGTAAAGCAATTACAGCTCATGTGCTTAATTGTCACACAGACTTCATTGTCCACTTTCATCTATGGAAGACGCTGAACACTGAACCAGGTTTCTCTTTGTGCACACGACCATTCCCTTCCAAGGTCATCTCTCACTGATGGCCCCCGACATCCACTTACTCCCAGGAATGGGTCGTGAGGAAGCACAGCTCTTGATTTTGGTGAGCAAAGCAGAGAACATCCGGAAAGACAACAGGCAATGTTCTATTGCTGGTGCATTTGTAATGGGCCAGAAGAAGGCTCGCAGAAAAATATTGAGCCAAATGTTCTAGGAAAAAAATGCAGGGGGTGGGTGCAGTGGGGAGAGGCAGAGTCTTTGCCTCCCTGAAATACCTAGATATTATCGGGTCACATGTCCTTCTGAAATTGTTCTGAATTAAGAAATCATTGGGCAGTAGACCAAAGATCTCTTGGAAATTATTAAAAATAGATGCTTGAGTGGCCAATCATGTTGCCTCCCACAGACAGATAGTACATACCTTCCAGAATAGCCGACTGACATAGAGGACTAATGATATTCCTTAAAACATTAATATCGCTGGCACCGCGGCTCACTTGGCTAATCCTCCGCCTGTGGTGCCAGCACCCTGGGTTCTAGTCCCGGTTGGGGCACCAGATTCTTCCAGTCCAGCTCTCTGCTGTGGCCTGGGAAGGCAGTGGAGGATGGCTCAAGTCCTTGGGCCCTGCACCCGCATGGGAGACCAGGAAGAAGCACCTGGCTCCTTGCTTTGGATCAGCACAGCGCGCCAGCCATAGCGGCTACTTGGGGGGTGAACCAACAGAAGGAAGACCTTTCTCTCTGTCTCTCTCTCTCACTAACTCTGCCGGTCAAAAGAAATTAATATCAAAGATTATGATCCCAGTGTTACAGCCTTCACTGAAATGAAGAAGCATGATTGGATGAAACATGCTATCCATGCACTGCTATAATTCTGTTATTGGCTGGGAGTGTTTAAAAGATTTATTTATTCATTTGAAAGGCAGGATGACAGAGAAAGAGAGATCAATCTATCTTCCATCTGCTAGTTCACTCCCCAAATTCCCATAATGGTGTAGGGTGGACCGGCATAAAACCAAGAGCTCCATCTAGGTCTTCCGTGTGGGAGGCAGAAACCCAGGTACTTGGGCCATCAACTGCTGCCTCCAGACACTCTAGGAGGAAGATGTATTGGAAGTGCAGAACAGCTGGGACTAGAACCAGGCACTCTGATATGGGCTGCAAGTATCCCAAGAGGCAGCTTAACTGCTTTGCCACAACACCAACCCCAACAATCAACAGACTGGCGTTACTGACTTACCATAGTGCAGACAAATTTTGTTTTCTTCATCAAAACTCTTTCCTGGCAAACCTTTAATATACGTTTTAGGTCTCTAAATAACAATTTAACAATTCATTTCAAATTCTAACCCAAATTCAAGAGCAGAGACTATACCTGTGTTTGTACTTGACACTTAATTATGTGTGCCATGGAGTCTCCACCTTTATTTCAAAATGTTAATCTTCATGGAAACTTCTTTTCCATTAGGGCATTAGTCTCCTTTTTGCATTAATCCCTGAACTCAACAGTCACTATCCAACACTCAGTATCTGCTCTCTACTACAGTTCTTACTCACCCTTCATCACAAATGAAGGTCACTTTTGCCCCAAGCTGGAGATTAAGTGGACGTACCACACGGCCATTGGGCAGTTGGTCCAGGAAGTCATCGCATGATCTCACTAGGAAGAAAGAAAAACAGGAGTAAGACTGCAGTGTGAAGGGCAAAGAGATTGATCTGGTAGCCAGACCAGAATCGAGGCATTTGCACATGTCGGGGACAGGGCGCCAGTCTCCTTGGAGTGTACAGCACGGAGAAGCATCCCCTCCAAGGTGGTAGCTGGGCTCACAGATGTAGATCACTTCCCACCTAGTGGGAAAACATCATTTTGCTTAGCGTGCACTCACCATGCAGGATTTCTGAAGGTGTCTGACATGCTCCATAAAGGACAGATCCAAAGTACTTTTTAATTATGGTCTGTGCCCAAAGCTGACAGTGCTCCTGGCTTAAAAATTATAATTGCAGAGTAAACCTGTAGATGTTAGAGCAAAAGTTCTAGTAGTTCAGTATTCAGGTTTTACTGACAAGGAAGCTAAGGATGCAGAGCAGAGCTCACAAACACCTTGTCTGTGTTTTTTTTTTTTTTTCTGCTGAAACGTGCTCCTAAGACCTCAGGGCTTTCAGGTTCTGGCTGGTTAGTACACAGCTGTCAGTGCTGGTGGCTCGTCCAGCCTTTTAGTCTTCATTTAGGACAACAACAAGGGAAGCTTTTGTACAAGCCTCATCTAAGAGACTTCTAGCCTGCTGTGCAGTCAGTCACAAAGTCCCTTCATTTCCCCAGTTAGTCTTTCCACTACCACATGGCTCAGCTGGAAACTTCCTTTCTGTCCCTCCCCAGCCTCCCCAGTTCTGATTCCTCCCACTCCACTGCCATGCCAGCCATGTCAGCACAAGACCAGAGAAGCCAATGAGAACAAAATCCCTTAAAGGAAAATGAGCAAACTACAGTCTTTGTAGTGAGAGAACGTATTGCTTAGAGAATCCTTTGATTCAGATTTTGGCTGTATCCATACATACATTGCCCAATTGGTGTGTGCTCAGGGCACCAGCATGCCATTGAGCCTTGATCTGAACCACAGATAATTGAAAAAACAAAACAAAACAAACAAAAAAAAAAAACAGAACACGAAGATATTTGGATTTGAGCAAAGCATTTCTTCTTTCTGAGCCTGTTTTTTTTTTTTTTATTTGTTTGCTTGTTTTAGCAATAACATGGAAGGAGCTGGAACAGAATGATTGGCATCCAAGGCCTTTTTAATCCAATGCTAGCATTTTGGTTGCCATGGCTCTTCATCTGCCTACTGACCTCCATGCAGTGATGGAGATAGGATCATTTTATTATGCTTTATTGTTTGTCACGTATTTCAGTACACGTTATCTTTGGGTCTGGAGCAAGAAGGCTCTTGAATTAATAGATCTTGCTCTCTTTTTCACTAGCCCTTTGACCTTGAAAAATTTATTTCACATCGGCAAGACTCAGTTTTCTAAAGGTAAAATGAAGATCAGAATAGTTGCTACCTCATATATTTGCTGTATTAAGGCATATAAAATATGTAATACAGACATAGAATAAACCATTGTTTTATTATTACCAGATATAAAACATAGAGCTAGTATTACATGCATTATTGTTTATTCCAGTTTCATAGCTCTTGTATACACACACACACACACATGCTTATCGCTTCTATAATTTCAATGCCTACCATTTATACTCCCTTGTAGCCCCTGGCAACAGTCTCAGAGGATCAGACTCACCCCTGGAGCAGCGTGGCAGCTCAGGTCCCCATCTGTTGTTGGCGTAGCACTGCACAGTGTTGGACCCTTTCATGACAAAGCCAGGCTGACATTTAAATCTCACGATCTCATTGATCAAAAATAAACTCCTATTTCCTGTGACTCTTACTCCATTTTCAACTTCTGGAGCTGTGCATTTATTAGTAGAAATACACTGAGGAGGAGGGCTGTTCCAAACACCGAGATGACCGTCTTTGCTGGTACAATATATTGATTGTTCTCCCACAAGGTCAAACACCTTTTCTCCACCTGGCCCAGTGTGGCACTGGTAAGTCACCACCATTCCATAGGGAAAAAATGTTCCATTGTAGCTGTAGAAGGTTCCATTGGATATGACTGGAGGTGGCTCACAAGATATAGCTGGGGAAAGGGAGAGTATGGTAAACAGAAGCTTATTTATTTATTTTTCACTATGAATTATTTTACTGTGGATTTAAATAACAAATAACAAAGAACCAAATGACTTCCTAAACTGTGGCTAATTATAATACTGTCATTTTCTTCTAATGCTTGCTAATAATCATATTTTTAACATAGCTGAGATGTACATGTGTGTGATGTGAATTTTGTTTATAATAAATAATTCGTGTGAAAATCCCGTCCCCTGTATTATTACAGTTTACATATTTGTGATTTTAAGTGGATAAGCTATGTGATTTTTGTCATAGATTTTTAAGGTATTTACCTACTGCTGTATTATTTTTTATCATTTTTTTAATGTTTAAGTATATATGTATGTATTTATCTACTTATCTTTAATTATTTGAAAAGTACAACAGAGAGAGGGATCTTTCAGCTGCTGGTTCACTCCCCAGATACAACAACTGAGGTTGGGCAAGGCTGTAGATAGAAGCCTGGAACTCCATCCTGGTCTCCCAGTGGTGGCAGGGACTCAAGTACTTAAGGATCACCTACTACTTCCCTGGATGCCATTAGCAGGAAGCTGGATGGAAACAGAGTAGCTGGGACTCAAACTAGGTACTCTGATATGGGATGCAGGCATCCCAAGTGGCAGCTTAACAGGCTGTGTCACCATGTCCACCCCTTTTAATTGGTTATTAAAGAATATCTTTGCAGGTTAAATACACTGCCTCTGGTATTGCTTATCAAGAAAAAGAGAGAAGAAAATATAAAAGATAAGGCATGAAAAGTGAAATAACCACAAAATCAGGGATAATGAGATGAACACCATGTGTTAGGATTTGAATATAGTCCTGTCTCCCCTCCAGTGTAGTAGTTTAATCCCCAATGTCATATGTTAACGGTGTTAAGAAGGTGGAAATGTTATCTGAGTAAGGTGTTTAAGGTGGAACTCCCATGACTGAGTCCTGGGAGAGAGTGACAAACACACACAGACCCACATGCATGTTCCCTGTCTCTGCCAACCCATTGCCATCAAGTGACACAGCCAAGGGAGGCTCTTATGAGAGCCTGAGCCATGCTATCCGGGCTTTCAGCCTCCAGACTGTAAGCTAGATAAACCCCTTTTCTTTACAACTTAGCCTGCCTCAGTTATTTCATTGTAGTAATGAGAACCTAACTAATCTACTATGTTCAATAATAAGATAATGTCGAAAACATGGGTAAAAGTGACTGTACACATGCACACATATCAGCAATGTTGACTCTGAGTGATTATTGACCTATAGACATATTAATGGGATAATTTTTCACAGGGAAAACCCCCAAGCCAAGAAAAAATTTTATAGTAAACTGATAATTCCTTTGCCACTTGAATTTCTTCAGAGGATTTAAATAAAGTAAGCACCTTATATAGTTTCTCATTCATGTTTTGGAATCTTTAAAAGTCCATTATTTCAGCCAGCGCCGTGGCTCAATAGGCTAATCCTCCGCCTTGCGGCACCGGCACACCGGGTTCTAGTCCTGGTCGGGGTGCCGGATTCTGTCCCGGTTGCCCCTCTTCCAGGCCAGCTCTCTGCTGTGGCCAGGGAGTGCAGTGGAGGATGGCCCAAGTGCTTGGGCCCTGCACCCCATGGGAGACCAGGAGAAGTACCTGGCTCCTGCCATTGGATCAGCGCGGTGCGCCAGCCGCAGCGCACCAGCTGCGGCGGCCATTGGAGGGTGAACCAACGGCAAAGGAAGAGCTTCCTCTCTGTCTCTCTATCTCTCTCACTGTCTGCTCTGTCTGTCAAAAAAAAAAAAAAAAAGTATACTAGACTGCCAGTGTATCTCTTGGTCATTAGCCTTCCAGAAGTTTGTTCCCATCAACTCTGAGTGTGCTGCTGATTTCTTCATGGCCTTAGCACTCTGCCAATTTGCAATCATTCTTCCATGTTCCTCAAAGTTTTGGAGGTTCATTTTAAAGTTTCACATGGGAAAGATAGAGATCAATCAAGAATGAACACAAAGGAAGATTAGACCTCAAAATGGCTAGAGTATGGGGACACTGCTAAGAACTTTAAGATCTCTTATTATTTGGAATCAGAATATTAAGGAAGGGAGTAGCTCAATTTTTGGAATTGTGACATGTAAGAATTGGGAAAGACAGATATAATTTGGTATATCATCTTTAAAATTTACTCACAAAGGAGAGTGACCCTTATACTGGAGAGAGTTGACTATCAGCCTAGGAAAGTAGAGCTATTTTGTCTGAGTTCAAGTCCACTTTCAGATAATTCACCCTCTAAGATAAGGAAAAGCCAAGAAGACCTGAAGAGTGTAAATTCTATTTTCAAGTATCTGAGCAGCTGCATTGTACAAGACTTTGTAACTCCAGGAATAAGCAGGATCAAATGGAAATATATGGGAGGGGGGTTGAATATTTCAACTCACTCTCACAGATAGGTGCCTCCTTATCCCATGCCACGCTACTGCCCAAGAGGAGACAAGCAGCAGTTGGGGAACCAACAAGGCGATACCTAAAACAAAGCATGAACAATGATTATACTCTATACCTATTATGCACTCAAGTTACCATTTGGAAAATAATGAGTAGATATCACAAATTGCAGGACAGATTACAGCATGCCAGGCCTCAGAAGGAAGGAATTCCAACTCCATCTGCAAATGAGTCCCACATTTCTTAGGACAAGTTTCACGTTTTACCTCCAATCCATCTTTATTCATAGTCCCTCGCAGCTGAATGAGGCATTTCCCTTATTCATCAGTAGGCATTTTGGTACTTATTTTTCACAGGTGTACTTCCATCCAGGAAATGACAAGCTCCTTGATTAGCAAGGAACCTGTCTCATGGAAATACATAACACTCAATAGCTTGTAGCCTAGAGATCCTCACACATGGAGCGCATAAGCAGCCCCTTTTGGGGGACGAAAGGAATGATGTTTTATCCTGAAGAGTCAGAGAATGAGGGCCAGAGACAATAGCTAAACATCTTCACATTTTAAAGGTAAAACACGGGGATAGTCGCCCACACTGCTGTAAAACCATACAGAGTAGGCCACAACATTTGGAATATTTCCTTATTTATTTTTTAGGATATCTACAATGTTACTATGAGAAACATCACTAAAAACACTAAGCTAAGCTATTCGTGTGTTCTGGTACACAGGAGGGAGAAATCTGTAGAAAAGCGAGCAGCCAAAGTGCAATGCCTTAACAACGAGGCAGTTACCGGAACAGCGAAACCCTCTTGCCTTTGGTCATTTAAGACGTGTGATCAGAGCAGTGACCATTAGTAGCAGACTGCTGACGTCATCCACAGTGTCACCTTTCCTCTCGTAATACTATTTTCCTTTTTTTTTTTTTTTTTTGACAGGCAGAGTGGACAGTGAGAGAGAGAGACAGAGAGAAAGGTCTTCCTTTGCCGTTGGTTCACCCTCCAATGGCCGCCGCGGCTGGCGTGCTGCGGCCGGCGCACCACGCTGATCCGATGGCAGGAGCCAGGAGCCAGGTGCTTTTCCTGGTTTCCCATGGGGTGCAGGGCCCAAGCACCTGGGCCATCCTCCACCGCACTCCCTGGCCACAGCAGAGGGCTGGCCTGGAAGAGGGGCAACCGGGACAGAATCCGGCACCCCAACCGGGACTAGAACCCGGTGTGCCGGCGCCGCTAGGCGGAGGATTAGCCTAGTGAGCCGCGGCGCCGGCTTCCTCTCTTTCATTAGTAATGGAGGCCTCTATTTTGCACCAGCCCGTTAGCCACCTGCGATGAAGACTTCATTTCTCACCTTCCCTTACAGCGAGCTATGGATACTTCCAGCAGATGGAAGTGGAGTGTTCCTGTGCATCTCCTGGAAAGTGTCTCTAAAGGGACTGCTGCCCTTTTCTTCCTCTTCTCCAACTGGAATCTGGGCCCTGAGATGGAACAGACTCTCATTTTCATAGAATCAGAGTAACAACATTAAAGGAACCCAGGTTTCTATGGGTTGCCGTATGAGCACTGGACTCCTTGCCATTATGGTTGTTTTTTCATTTTTCCTTTTGATTTTTTTTCTTTTTTGTTGCTTTCATGGTTTTTTAACTGGGACAGAAAGAAACCACTGTCCCAACATCCTATTATTTGACTTTTTTTGCTATTTCACAGCTGACTCTATCTTAGCTGGATTATACCAGCCCTTCCTGAAACAGTGACATAAATCTGAGGGAGCTGTCTGAGGCCACCAGGGGCAGTGGATGTTTTTCCAGCCACAGTGAATCACTTCTGTGGTCAGGCAGCAGCTGAATTTTACTTATGGGTAGCTTACTCAGTATTGGCTATGTGAAAAGATCTTTTCAACTGCGCCAAAAAAGCCTTAAAAATCGGTTCAAACAGGCTGAGGATCACTGAATAAAAGATGACAATTCCTCCAGCATGTGTGGATCTCTCTGCCTCTCACCCTTCAAAAACTTCCCTAGGAACACAGGCCCATGGGTGCCCGCTAACTTTTGACCTTATAGAGGTTGTTCTTATACGCTGAAGAAGGTTCCAGACTATGTATGGTGGCAGAAACACAGTGAAATCAGAGATTAAAAAGGGAATGTAACAACAGATACCATAGAAATAAAAAGAGTCATCAGAAATTACTACAAAGAGTTGTATGCCAGCAATCAGGGAAATCTGTCAGAAATGGATAGATTCCTGGACACATACAAGCTACCTAAACTGAACCATGAAGACATAGAAAACCCAAACAGACACATAACCGAGTCAGAAATTGAATCAGTAATAAAGGCCCTCCCAACAAAGAAAAGCCCAGGACTGGATGGATTCACTGCTGAATTCTACCAGACATTTAAAGAAGAACTAACTCCAATTTTTCTCAAACTATTCAGAACAATTGTCACTGATCAGGGAGAACATATGATATTTGTCCCTTTGGGACTGGCTTATTTCACTCAGCATGATGTTTTCCAGATTCCTCCCTTTTGTTGCAAATGACCAGATTTCATTTTTTTTTTACAATTATTCTTAGGTATTTAACTGAAAAGTGATCCTTGTTAAATATAAGAGTGGGAATAAGAGAGGGAGGAGATGTACAGTTCGGCACATGCTCACTCAGACTTACCCCTAATGGTAGAGTTAGAAATGTGCCAGGGGATTCCAATTCAATCCCATCAAGGTGGCATGTACCAAGGCCATCTTACTAGTCAAAGTGATCAGTTTAAGTTCATAATTGATCCTAATGATAGGATTAATTGTCAAAGGGATCATATAAACAAGACTAGTGTCTGCTGATACTAACTGATAGAATTAAAAAGGAGAGAACGATCCAACATGGGAAGCGGAATACACAGCAGACTCATAGAATGGCAGATGCCCTAAACAGCACCCTGGCCTCAGAATCAGCCCTTAAGGCATTCAGATCTGACTAAAAAGCCCATGAGAGTTTCTCAGGCATGCAAAGCCAAGAAACTGTGGCAAAAAAAAAAAAAAATGACCTAAATGAAAGATCTCTTCAAGTGAGATGCCAGTGGAAAGAATGGGCCATCAGAGAAGGAGGTATGTTTCTCTGAAAGGAGGAGAGAACTTCCACTTATACTATGGCCTTGCCTAAATAAGATCAGAGTTTGTGAACTCAAGAGGCTTCCATAGCCTTGGCAGCTCATGACAAGAGCCTTGGGTGATTACTGACGTCATAAATAAGAGTGTCAATTGTTAAATCAACAATGGGAGTCACTCTACACCTGCCCCCCAAGTAGGACCTCTGCCCTTAATGTGTTGTACTATGCGAATTAATGGTAAAACTGCTACTCAAACAGTCCTCTATACTTGTGTATCTGTGTGGGTACAGTATAGTATGTTGAAATCTTTACTTAGTATATACTAAGTTGATCTTCTGTATATAAAGATAATTGAAAATGAATCTTGACAAAGAATGGGATGGGAGAGGGAGTTGGAGATGGCATGGTTGTGGGTGGGAGGGAGGTTATGGGGGGAAAAGGCACTATAATCCAAAAGTTGTACTTTGGAAATTTATATTTATTAAATAAAAGTTGAAAAGTAATCCTGTTTTTAATTTACAAGTATTAATTTTATACATTTATGGAGTACAACATAACAGTTTGTATCGTGGAATGATTAAATCAAGTGGATTAACACATTCATCATTTTCCATACTCATTTTTTTCATGGTGAGAACACTTAAAATCTACTCTTTTAGCAATTTTGAAATACAGCAATGCATTACTCCTCACTATAGTCACCGGGCTGTGCAACAAATCTAACGTGCTCTGCCTGTCTAATTAGGCCTTTGTGCCCTTGGCCCACCTCTCCCCATCCCCTGCTCCCACTCCTTGATCCTGCTAACTGCCATTCTACTCTCTACTATTATGAGTTTGGGTCTTTTTAGATTCCACCTATGACTGAGATCTAAATTCTTTGTTGAAATTTGTGCCTGCATTATTTCACAGGGACTATTTTTGAAGATACTATAAGACACGAACATGCTCCGGCAGTGATTGTGTTATACTTTCTGAAAAGACGTCCATTCCTTCACTGAAGTCTATAAAAGGCTTCAATAAAGAGGTTAGGCTCCTTCCTGAAGACCCCCACTCTAAAAATAAATGTCTTCCATACATGACAGAGTTGTCTTATCTATATTCAATCCCCACTAATTCTCCAAGTAGTTTCCCAAACAAATGCAGTTCTTTTCCTAAAAGAATAAAATTTTAATATCTTCAGATATGTTTTAAGTCAGATGACTCATATCAGACATGGTTTTAAAACCTTTTTAAATAATTACGAATTATATTGTGAAACTTTCCTAATTATATATTACTCTGTAACATCAGTTTTAGCAGTTGCTTGTTGGTTATTACCTGGATGGACTGTAACTCATATAACAAATTCCTTATTCTTAGAAATTAAAGTGGCTTTTCATTTAGATGATTGGAAAAAACACTACAGTGCATATTCTTGTACATAAGAAAAGAAGTGAAGGGCCAGCGCCGTGCTATAGAGGGAAAGCTGCCGCCTGCAGTGCCAGCATCCCATATGGGTGCCAGTTTGAGTCCCAGCTGCTCCACTTCTGATCTAGCTCTCTGCTATGGCCTGAGAAAGCAGCAGAAGATGGCCCAAGTCCTTAGGCCCTTGTACCCATGTGGGAGACCTGGAGGAAGCTCCTGGCTCCTGACTTCAGATTGGTGCAGCTGCAGCCGTTGCAGCCAATTGGGAAGTGAACCAGTGGATAGAAGTCCATCCGTCCGTCCGTTTGTTTGTTCGTTCGTTCTTTCTTTCTTTCTTTCTCTCACTCTCTCTTTCTCTCTCTCTTTCTCTCTCTCTTTCTCTCTCCCCCCCCCCCGTGTGTGTGTGTGTGTGTCTACATCTCTGTAACTCTGCTTTTCAAATAAACAAATAAATCTTTAAAAACAAAAAGAAGTGAGATGAGAGCTTCGATGACTACAAAGAAAATTTGAGAATTCAGATTTCATATCTACACAAGAGAAAAGATTTGTGGATTTGGGTGAAGGGCTGTGCACAGG